GATTCTTTCTGCATTCAAGTAGTGATTTTCCTGGTTATTATTATGACGGGTGATTTTTTTTTTTTTACTGTACCCTGGACATTTTGAATTTATGTTTAGAAGACTTTGGGTTCTATTTGGTTCTTTTTTTTTTATAACAGGTGGTTGCCCTGTTTAAGTTTGGCATGCAGGTGCTGGCCTACTTTTGTGGGCTGAGGTTCCAACAACAATTTAATTTTCAGAGACTTTGCAGTGTTATTTTCACCTGCTTGGTTTATCTGTGCTGCTGGGGCTCCCACCTGTTCCTGCTGCTGCTGCCAGAGAGAGCAGAAGGAGTTTCCCCAGGCCAGGTTGCCCAGGGTCCCTTGGCAGGGGAGGTGGGTCTCAGGCAGGTGTGGAAGGAGAGTGCTTTCCCTGGCTGCTTGTTGTTAGTGGGCTTCTGACAAACTCCCCTTGCTGGTGATGCTGCAGTTGTCTGGTATCGTCAGTGGGACTCCTGTTCAATTTGAGAGAGGAATAAACCTACCCGGGTCATCCTTTGTTGGGTACGTGGGTGTGAGACACCTGCTGCTGAGTTGTTCCTTCAACTTAGGGTCCTAAACCAATTAGTCATCCTTCTCCCACGTTTCTGAGTTACCCTTTAAGTGCCTCTTGCATATTTCCATGGTTTATCATTGTACTTAACAGAGAAGAACAGGGAGAAATGAGTCCCATATTGTGTGGGCCAGAAGTCGTCTTCGCAATAATTTTTTAAAAGTGCAGCACCAAAGAGCCCAGTGGCAGTCAGCATGCGTGAAAGGCCTTGTGACCTGGGGGGCTTCGCTCTACATGGATCTGACTGTCTCTTTGAGGTCCCTTGGCTATTGATAGCTTTTTTTTTTTTTTTTTTCTTCTAGACTGTCAGAGTTCAGGGAGGCTGAGAACCTAAGTTCTGGCTTCTACCTTGGGGAAGGACCACTGATGTGGGACTGTCCCAAACATAGAAAGACTATTTAGGAGATATGAGGAGACCACCAAGGGTGACAAATGTCTGCCACATATGGACATATAACATGGCTACTCCAGCAAATACTCCACAGCCAAGTCACCACCCCACAAGCCTTTATTGGGGGTGAGGCCTGCTCATGCAATGAGGGCTGCAGACGTTGTTGAGTTTCTTGGCACATTTGTAAGGTGTTCTCTGACCTTGGCAAAACACATGTAAATTTTCTTAAGATTTTCACTTAGTATTTTTCTTTTTTTCTTTTTTAAAAAGGTTTTATTTGTTTATTTGACAGAGACAGCAAGAGAGGGAACACTAGCAGGGGGAGTGGGAGAGGGAGAAGCAGGCTTCCCGCTGAGCAGGGAGCCCAATGAGGGGTTCAATCCCAGGACCCTGGGATCATGACCTGAGCCCGAAGGCAGACGCTTAACAGCTGAGCATCCAGGCATCCCTCACTTGGTATTTTTCTTAAATAACCCTTGTGATATGCTAAGATTCCTAATGAAGGCAGAACATGAGTAGGCAAACTGGATGAAGCTCAAAATAATTATCTGAGCAAAAGAAGTCAGAACAAAAAGACAGACAGACGGGACTCCATGATACTGCTTATATAAAACTTCAGAAAATGCAAATGGATGATGGTGACAGAACGCAGATCAGTGACTGTCTAGGCTTGGGGTGTTGTAGGGAGAGATGAGGGAGGGATTAAAAAAGGGCACGAGGACATGTGGCTGATGGATAAATTTTCTAACTTGATTGTGGTGCTGGTTTCATGGATATATATATATGTATATATAGCCAAGGTTTCATGGGTATATATATATATGTATGTATACATATATGTATGTATGCATGCATGTATGTATATGTATGCATGTATGTATGTATACATATATATGTATATACATATATATCAAAACTTATCAAATTGTGGGGTACTTGGGTGGCTTAGTTGGTTAAGTTTCTGCCTTCAGCTCGGGTCATGATCCAGGGTCCTGGGATCGAGCCCCACATTGTTGGACTCCCTGATCAGTGGGGAGTCTGCTTCTCCTTCTTCCTCTGTGGTCCCCCCCACCGCCATCATGCTATCTCTATCTCACGCTCATGTGCTCTCTCTCTCAAATAAATAAATCAATAAAATCTTTTAAAAAACTTATCAAATTGTACACTTTAAATATGTGCAGTTCATTTATGTCACTTATGCGTCAACAAAGCTGTTTAAAAAAACAAAAACAAAAACAAAATCATAAGACTGATCCCTATTTGCTGGCCATCTAAATTTCAGTTTCTGTAAAAGGGCGTAAATAATAACTACCTCATAATTTTGGGTAAGATTAAATGAGTAAAAATTAGGGGCACCTGGCTGGCTCAATCAGTTAAGCATCTGCCTTTGGCTCAGGTGGTGATCCCGGGGTCCTGGGATGGAGCCTCCACAGCGGGCTCCCTGCTCAGCGGGGAGCCTGCTTCTCCCTCTCCCTCTGTCCCTCCCCCCGCTTGTGTGCTCTCTCTCTTTCAAATAAATAATCTTTAAAAAAAAATAAATGAGTAAAAATTAAAAGGATGAAGTGAGATGACATTCTCCCTTGATTCGACTGAAAGCCACGCAGTCATGCTCTGTCCCTCTCTCTCCTGTACTCATGTCCAATCCCTGGCCGGCTCCCTGGGTGACTACCAGAGTGGCTGGGGGCAGAGTGGACAGGATCGGCCATGACCTGGTGACTAGATAGTTGCTGAAATGGGGAGGTGGGTACATGGGAAATTGGCATATTATTCTCTCTACTTGTGGATATATTTACATTTCCCATAACTACAATTAAAAAATAAGCAGTGGCTCCCCATTTCACTGAAGGGAAAAACTGGCCCACGTGGCCCTACATGATTCCCCCACCCTTACCCCTCTGCCCTTATCTCCTCCTACCTCGAGTCGTAACCCCGCCCCCGCCCTGGAATCCTCCTATCTCCTGGCTTGAACCTGCTCAAAAAGAGTCCTCTCAGTGAGTCCAGGCTGACTGTTCCACTAAAATTATTACCACCACCACCTGTCCCTTTCCATGCCCCCTTCTCTGCTACTTGTCACTTAGCAGTTATTATCATCTGACATCTTGTATAACTACTTGTTGCTGACTCCCCCCACCACTTTGGCTGAAACTAAGTTCCATAAAGACAGGAATTCCTGCCTGATGTGTTCACTGTTGAATCCTTAGCACTGAACAGAGTGCACAGTGGGTTCTTGATGAATGAATGAGCTACATATAAATATGCTAGTGGAATGCCTGGGAGGGAGTGAGCACTATGGGATTCATCATAATCTAAAAATACGTCATTGAGTCATTTGATAAACATAAGTTAATTGTTCCGTATGTACTTTCTGTCCTGGTCTTTGGAAAATGAAGCTACCACTAATTTTTTTGTCGTTAATTTGTGGGAAGCAGTATGGTAGGGAGGGATTCCCACAGTCTGTGGAGGTGAGCAGATCTGCTTGGAATCCTGGCTCGGCCACTTGCCAGCTATGTGACCTGCCCAAGTTGCGCAGCCCCTCAGAGCCTGATCTCCTCACTGACGGTGCCTGTTGGAAATGCCCTGCATTGGGGGCTAGGCTGGAAGCCCTGGGATGAGACTTTACCCCTTCTGCAAGAGGGACAGGACCACCTCCAGGACCTGCCCGGCTGCGTGCCCCTCTAAGACCTGCTGGTGGGGTGTGCAAACGATGGTTGAGGGCACTGCTCAGGGACAGGCAGTGACACCTCTGAGATCACAAAAGGGGAGGTCACTCAGCCTTGGCCCATCCTGAGGTCCCCTCTCCAATCCCTCTGCCCCTCAAGCCTGAGGTTATAAACAAGTGACTCAGAGGAATGATGGGAGAATGCCCCATAATAGTTTACACTAGTGTCCTGGGGGCTAAATTTAACCCACAGCTGCAGCTTCTGGCACTTTGGGAACAAGTTAATCTTGGTGGCTGAGGCTGATTGTGTGTGTGTGTGTGTGTGTGTGTGTAGTGGGGGAAGAGTGGTAAGTCCAGAGAAGGCTGGGCATCAGGACTGGCTATCCTGGGCCTCTACCCCGACACCCCTTAGATGGTAGACAGGGTGCAAGGGCCCCAAGGCCAAGGTAGACTCAGGTCAAGCTTAGTATGGACCAAGAACAGTGAGCATAGACAGCTATCCTGGAATATTAAACTCTTAGAGTGTTACTTTTTGAACACTAGAATCCAGACTGTCACTCCGCTAGAATGTTAAAACCCTGGGAATTTAAATACCTAGAATAGTTGAAGCCTACGAAATTACTTTTCTAGCACGTCTGACACCTTACAATGTTAAAACCCTGTGACAGCGTACTCCCAGGAACACTGAGCCTCAGTGCTTCCGAACCTCAGCAGAACTGTAACTGAGGCCCTTAGATTCTAACTCATCCAACTCCCCGTTGTGTGGAAAGGGAAACTGAGGCTCAACAGAGCCACGTGACCTGTGCAGGCCCTTCAGAAAAGAAGTGACTGTGTTTACCTAAGGCACCTTTTTGCTTTCTTGCACAGTCTAAGGAGGGTCTCAGATCTGGAGTAGAAAGGGGTAAAGGTCTTCCCATTTTAAAGGTAGGGCAATAAGGTTCCCTATGAGTGAATGCCTTTCCAAGTTCACTGAACAGGAAACCCAAGCACACTGTATCCAAGGGTGGACGGGGTGAGATGTACTCCAGGGAGGAAGATGGAAGCACCCAGACAGAAAGGCCCAGAAGGCATGAACGAAGGGAGATCCTGGAAGAGGGACACCAAAGCTTCTCGCTCCCTGGCCTGAGGGGCAGAGCTTGGGTCATCACGGGCCCTCAGGGGCACCGCCTGACCAAGGAATGTAGTCGAGGCGTTGCTGTGCTCCATTTAGAAATGAGGCAGCGAGGCCCTCATAGGCCCAAATACCCCACCCCTGTCCCGTGCGCCCCTGGGGCTGAGTCAAGGCTGCTCTGGGAGGGGGCCTCTGCCCAGCTGTCCCCTCTGCGTCATGCGCAGGAAGCCAGGCAGCTCGCCTTACAGGGCCCTGTCCACCTCTATATATAGCCCCGCGAAGACAGCTGCGTAGACCGATTGTGACCCAGCAGGAAAGCAGGGGAATAGAAAGAGGAGGCCCCTGGCAAGGCCCTGGCACCCCAAGCCACCCATCATGGCGCTGGGCTTGGAGCAGGCGGAGGAGCAGCGTCTGTACCAGCAGACGCTCCTGCAGGACGGGCTCAAGGACATGCTGGACCACGGCAAGTTCCTCGACTGTGTGGTGCGGGCCGGGGAGCGCGAGTTCCCGTGCCACCGCCTGGTGCTGGCCGCCTGCAGCCCCTACTTCCGGGCGCGCTTCCTGGCCGAGCCTGAGCGCGCGGGCGAGCTGCGCCTGGAGGAGGTGTCCCCGGCCGTGGTGGCGCAGGTGCTGCACTACCTGTACACGTCGGAGATCGCGCTGGACGAGGCGAGCGTGCAGGACTTGTTCGCCGCGGCGCACCGCTTCCAGATCCCGTCCATCTTCACCATCTGCGTGTCCTTCCTACAGAAGCGCCTGTGTCTCGCCAACTGCCTGGCCGTCTTCCGCCTCGGCCTCCTGCTCGACTGCGCGCGCCTGGCCGTGGCCGCCCGCGACTTCGTGTGCGCGCGCTTCTCGCTCGTGGCGCGCGACGCCGACTTCCTCGGGCTCTCCGCCGACGAGCTCATCGCCATCATCTCCAGCGACGGCCTCAACGTGGAGAAGGAGGAGGCCGTGTTCGAGGCGGTGATGCGGTGGGCGGGCAGCGGCGACGCCGAGACGCGGGAGGAGCGCCAGCGCGCGCTGCCCACCGTCTTCGAGAGCGTGCGCTGCCGCCTGCTGCCGCGGGCCTTCCTGGAGAGCCGCGTGGAGAAGCACCCCCTCGTGCGCGCCCAGCCCGAGCTGCTGCGCAAGGTGCAGATGGTGAAGGACGCGCACGAGGGCCGCCTCACCGTGCTGCGCAAGAAGAAGAAGGACACGGGGCAGGAGGCAGCCGGGGCCAAGGCTGCTGGCAAGGGCACGGGCGAAGCCAAGGCAGAGGACGACGAGGAGGAGGCTGAACGCATCATCCCCGGCATCCTCAATGACACTCTGCGCTTTGGCATGTTCCTGCAGGACCTCATCTTCATGCTCGGTGAGGAGGGGGCCGTGGCCTATGACCCCGCGGCCAACGAGTGCTACTGTGCCTCGCTCTCCACCCAGATCCCTAAGAACCACGTCAGCCTTGTGACCAAGGAGAACCAGGTCTTTGTGGCTGGGGGCCTCTTCTACAACGAGGACAACAAGGAGGACCCCATGAGTGCTTACTTCTTGCAGGTGCCTGCCCAGCCCTGGGAAGGGCAGCCAGTGCCGGGTTCTGGGAACGGGAACGGGGGCGGGGGTGGCGGTCAGCTTTGGGGCCCATGAGAGGCTTGTGTCCACTTGTTGGGGGGTGTTATTGGGTCTAGGATGAGATGTAGACCAGGGAGGTTGACTGAGAGCCACTTGCCTGAAGTCTTGAAGGCAGTTATAGGCAGTTGACAATTAGCTGCGTAACTCTGACGTCTCTTTCAGGGGGATGTGAGCCCCAGGGAGGTCTGATATGTTGGAGGCCCTGTCTCTGCACAGGGATTGAGGTCAGGCACAGTGAGAAGGAGGAGCAAGGTCAGTGTAGGGGTCAGTCTGGGGCAGGACCTTTGCGTGAGGCCCAGACTGGAGTATAGAACAGAGTGTCCCAAACAAAGGGAGCATCCTGCCTAGTCTTCTCACTGCACAGATGAGAAAACCGAGGCCCAGAAAGGACCAGTAGAGTGGGGTGACGAGTCCAAGTTGTAGTGTCTCATGGGATCTCAGAGGGCAGAGATGGTTCCCTGGTGACTGGCCATGTAGGTTTGAGTCCTGCCATCTGGGTGGAATTTGGACACTTGAAGGGGAAGTTAGGGTGTTTCTGCCTGAGGAATGGTGAGCAAGGGACAGAGACTGGAATGAGCCCAGCGAGTGGTGAGCTCAGTGAGGCCTGACCGGGTGTGGAGAAGGGTGAGGGGCAACTCGGTACCAGGGTTAAACCGGGGGCAGGGAGGGAGGGGGGCAGCTCCACCAGCCAAAGCATATCATGGACCTTGCTTGTTTTCTCTGGGGATATTATCCTTCCTGCTTGATAAGGTTGTTTGAAGGTTACAGATGGTTATAAAGTGTTCATCAGCACATTGCTCAGGCTTCAGAAAACTTTCCAGAAAGATGAGCCACAAATATCGTTGTAAGACTATGGAGATGGGACAAGGCCGCAGACTTACACTGTAGATTTTAAGGGATGAGGGGCAGAGCTGTGTTTGGAGGTTTTCTGTGCAGTGGGCTGGGGTGGAAAACAGAGGGCAGGCAGGCCTCAGTTCTGGAGTCGTAGTGGGAAGGGACAGGTCTCTGCGTGGGGTGCCCCATCGTGGTGCTGTAATGTGGTCTCTGGGCGCCGACCTCCGGAGGGCCTCGGTTGTTCTCAGCCTGGTAGGAGGATAGGGTACTGTCTCCAGGGATGGCCTCCAGGCTGCGTTGGCCCTAGCTGGAGACCTGGCCTCCGCTGTGACCCGGGGTGGCTGGGGGAGTGCGGGCGTGGAGGCCGGTGGCTGACTGCACGCCCGGCCCGCAGTTTGACCACCTGGACTCCGAGTGGCTGGGGATGCCGCCACTGCCCTCGCCGCGCTGCCTCTTCGGCCTGGGAGAGGCTCTCAACTCCATCTACGTGGTGGGCGGCCGAGAGCTCAAGGACGGCGAGCGCAGCCTAGACTCGGTCATGTGCTACGACCGGCAGTGAGCAGGGGCCGGGGGCGGGGTTGAGGAGTCCGGGGGGCGGGGCGGGGCCCGGGGGCGGGGTTGGGGGCGCGGCGGGGGCCGGAGCCAGAGCCCGGGGCTGCGGGCGGAGGCGGGCTTGGGTAGGGGCGGGGCGGCGGGCCGCTGGGTGGGAGCCAGGACCCGAGAGGTGCCGGTTATGCACCGGGTGCACCCCGAATATGTGCTGGCTGGTGGGTGAATGCAGAGACGGGGACCCAGCGCACTCCTGAACCGGGCGCTCGCCCTACTCCGGTCTCCTCCAGGTCGTTCAAATGGGGCGAATCGGATCCGCTGCCGTATGCCGTGTACGGCCACGCGGTGCTCTCCCACATGGACCTGGTCTACGTCCTTGGCGGCAAAGGCAGCGACAGGTGAGGCTCGGGCCTGGAGCGAGTGCAGGAGCAGGGCTGTAGGTTAGAGCGGGGGCACAGTCTCCCCAGGCTGTCGGGGGTTGTCCGGAGCCACTGAACCGGAGGAGGGGCGCTGTGCTCAGGCTTCCTCCCTCTCGCTCCCGGTCCCCCACCCCCAGAAAGTGCCTGAAGAAGATGTGTGTCTACGACCCTAAGAAGTTCGAGTGGACCGAGCTGGCCCCCATGCAGACTGCGCGCTCCCTCTTCGGGGCCACCATCCACGATGGCCGCATTTTTGTAGCCGCCGGCGTCACAGACACGGGGCTGACCAGTTCAGCTGAAGTGTACAGCATCGCGGACAACAAGTATGGCTGCTCCCCGCCCCTTCCAGTGGGCAGTCAGGGACCAAGGGCCCCCCTGTGACTGCCTGGCTGTGTGGCTTTGAACCTGTTGGGTCTCTCCGTGACGGCCCTGGCAGCAACCATGGTCCCTGCCCCTTGACATCAGCACAGGAATAGCCTCTCTGTCCTCATCGCCATGAGGCGGGCTTCCCCCACAATTTGGGGCCAGGGTTAGGGCCAGCCTGGCCTGCAGGAGAGAGCTCCCAGGAGTGGGGCGGGAGATGCCAGGTTCCTCAGTCAGAGTCATACCGGGCAGTGGCCTGGTGCTCCGGATACACTGGTGACCAAGACAGAAGCCGCCCTGCCCTGGGAGGCCAAGGGAAACCTGAGCCGGCAGCCCCCTTGGACTTAGCCAGCAAAAGGGATGGTGGCAGAAGGACTCCCCAGGCCAAGGAAAGTTGGTGACAAGGCAGTTAGGAGAAAAAAAGGCAGGCCTGTTGGAGGAAAGGTTGGAGGAAGGAAGGTGGGGATGGGGGCACCGGGGTTGGAGAGGTGGCAAGCAGGGCCAAGGGACTCAATCCTAGGGCGGTGAAATGGCTGTGATGGGTTTTAGGCTCACATCTGTGTTTTATTAGGTAACAGCTGATGTAGAGAACAGATTAGAGATCTTCCAGGAGGCAGGGGTGCAGCCATAGAGCAGGAGGTGGCGGCCTGCAGATGGGGGCACGGTGGAAATGGGGCCGAGGGGGCGCACAGGAGAAAGATGTAGGCCAGGACTTCCCACACTGTGATATGCACACGAATCTCCCGGGGAGTCGTGTTAAAATGCAGATTCTCATTCTTGGTCCTGGGGAAGGGCCTGAGTGTGTATTTCTAATACCCCTCACGCCGCCCAGGTGATGCTGATGCTGCTGGTCCATGGGCCCCACTTAGAGTAGCAAGAGTTTAGGAGATAGAAGAAATAAGATTTAGAGATTGATTGGATGTTGGGAATAAGAGGGAGATGTGGATGCTTTTGAGAGAGGGTGGGAGGTCATTTACTGGAGAACCACTGAGGTTAGATTGGAAATGTGAGGGTCCAGTTAGGACATGTGGATTTGTGGGATCTGGGAGTGTCCAGGAGGAGCCCGCCAGGGTAGAGAGAATGCTGAGCTGGAGAGATTTGGGGCCAACAGTCAATGGAGGGAATGAGCTCCCTCAGGAGAGAGAGTGTAAGAGGGAGAAGCTGAGGCCCAAGCCCTGAGGGATTGTGGAGGCAGATGCATTATCCAGGCAGGAATCTGAGGACATGAGAGGCTGGGCAGGTGGGAGGTGAGAAAGTCACATCAGTAGAGATGTGTGTTGTGCCTGGATTTTTTTTTTTTTAAAGATTTTATTTATTTATTTGACAGAGAGAGACACAGCGAGAGAGGGAACACAAGCAGGGGGAGTGGGAGAGGGAGAAGCAGGCTCCCTGCAGAGCAGGGAGCCGGATGCGGCACTCTATCCCAGGACCCTGGGATCATGACCTGAGCTGAAGGCAGTCGCTTAACCAACTGAGCCACCCAGGCGTCCCTGTGCCTGGATTTTATGCTCTGTGGTGGCTGGGGACCGGAGAGCTGTTTTGGAGGGTAGGGATGAAGGCCCAACTTCATGGCCAGAGGAGGGGAGTGAAGACACCCTGAGAATAATTGGGCAGTGAAGAGGGGAAGAAGGTTGGGGCAGGGGCGCCAGGGGAGGGCACCTCCCCTGGGAGAATTAGTTCAGGAGCAAAGGAGGGCCACTGGGGAGATCCATGGTGGATTGCACGGGGCAGGCTGGGTGCAATGACCAGGGGACCGTGGGGGGAAACGGGAGGGGCAGGAGAACGGGGAAAGCTGGAGAGCGGTGCTGGGAGGGTCAGGACACAGAAGGTTGTGCTGGGAGCGTGGGTGCTTGGGATTCGGGTTTCCAAGGGGTGTAGCTGAAGCTGTGGGCGCTGGGGCCGCTGGGTGATGCACCTCTTCACGCCCCCTCCTCCCCACCAGGTGGGCACCCTTTGAGGCCTTCCCACAGGAACGCAGCTCGCTCAGCCTGGTCAGCCTGGCGGGCACCCTGTACGCCATCGGTGGCTTTGCCACGCTGGAGACCGAGTCTGGAGAGTTGGTCCCCACAGAGCTCAACGACATCTGGAGGTGAGCCCGGGGCCCAGGGAGGTGACCAAAGCCCCCGAGGAAGGCTGATGCCCCCCAGCGGCGCCTGGCGAGTTCATCTGGGGCTGGGGTGATCCCTCTTGCGGTCCCATGCGGCAGGGACAGCAGACACGCCCTGCTCAGCCCAGTCTTTCCGGTTTGGCTGGCAAGGGCCCGGTTTGCTCACAGGGCACCACGCCCCGCTGTGGAGCATCAAGCGAGCCGCAGGCCGGAGCTGCCCCAAGTTTAGGGCCCAGACCCAAGGAAACAGGCCCCAGGGAGTAGAGGGGGCCCTGAAGAGGCAGCCAGGCCTTTCCTCCCTGCTCTGTCCTGGGTACTCTTGCTGGAGGGGAGAGCTGGGGCCAGAATTGAGAAGAAGCTGGACCCCAACTTCTGAGAGCCATTGCTTTCCATGCTGGCCCTTCCTGGGGTGGAGGAAAGAGGTTTCGGTGCCTGGAGCACCTGCTAAACCTTCAGTTATTCTCACTGCTCCATGGGGGTGGGTGGGTCCTGGGGGACTTCTGGAGTGCAGAATACAGAATTCTCCAGAGGAGGGGCTGTGGAAATGCAGGTCTTCCTGGAAGCGTGGGGCATTCCTTGAGAGGTGACCCTTCCTGGAATCTGGGGTGGCTGTTCTTTGGGGGTGGACCTTTTGGGGGGCCCTTTCCCAGGACATGAGAATTCTCCAGGACCAGACATTTCTGGAGATGGGCCTGGGGCTTCAGGGACACTCCCCAGGGGTAGGCCTAGCATCGTCAGCCACCCCTCTCGGCTGGGGCCCACTCTGCACTCGGCTGACCCAGCTCTGTGTCCCTGTCCTCACTCCTCCCTCCCACCCCCAGATATAATGAGGACGAGAAGAAGTGGGAGGGCGTCCTGAGGGAGATAGCCTACGCAGCCGGCGCCACCTGCCTACCCGTTCGGCTCAACGTGCTGCGCCTGACCAAGATGTGACCAGCCCCGAGGGCCTGAACTAAGCACCCCTCCCACCCTGCGGCCACACAGGCCTGGACTTTTGAGGGCTCTGGAGAAGAGGCTGGGAGAAGCCTGAGCCCACCTTGGTCCCGTTGTGCCACCTGGGGGTGCTCTTCAGCAGGGGAGGGAAATCGCTGCCCAGTCCTAGCCTTTCCAGCAGGGACCAGGGACTTAGGGCTCTCCGGTATCCCCATATCCCCGGTCTTCTTGTTCCATGAGCCAGAACCACAGGGAGGTTGCATTCTGGGCCAGTCCCAGCCCGCCTGTTTGCGGTGGATGTACCCACAGGACTCCATCTCCTTGCCTGTCATATGGGGAGTGTCCCTTTCAAGCACACTCTGCAGCCTGGATAGGTCCTTAAGAGGAATAAAGTGACTTCTGAGCAAGTAGCTCAGGGTCTGGAATCAGATTCTCCAAGGGTCAGTGGCCAGGTGGTTGAAGATTCCAGGCTTCGGTGTTCAGCTGCTGGGTTGCCCAGGTCAGTGGCCTCCGCACTCCATGTGGGTATCTCCTCCACATTCTGTGTGCACTGAGAGCCTGACCCCCCCACTCCCTGGGGCTCAGAACCCCCACCTCCTCAAAGAGCATGGACAAGGAGCCAGGAAATTGCTGGTGGAAGGGACAGGGAACAGCCAAACTGTGGTAGAAAAGTCTTTTATTCTAGCGGTCAGGCCCCATCCGGCCTGGCCTGGGCCTGGGCCTGGGCCCGGAAATAGCTGAGCAGAGCCTATCCCTCTCCCCTCTGCCTCCTCCCACCTACTCCGGCTTCTCTTTGTCCTGCTTCTGCTCCTCCTCTAGGGCCAGGGTTCGCTCTCGCTCCTTCACCAGCTGGACACCACAGTAGGTGACAAATAGGACGGCCAGAGTGGTCTGGGGGAACCCTGTGTGGGGAAGAGGTCATCGATGCCTGGGAGCAGGACCCCAGCCTCAGGGACTCTTTTCTTCTCATGCCCCTCCCCACTTGATTGGCCCACCCTGCTAGGTCCCCGGGGTGTTGGGGTGGGGTGGGGGCATTTCAGGAGGTCACAGTCCTCAAGGTTGATACCTGGCATCTTCTGTATCCACACCTCCCTGTCTCTCACCTGTGAGTAGCAGGCGCCTGGCAACCAGCTCTGTGAACTCAAGACTGTTCAGGCTTACAAGGTTGTACATGATGATGGCCCAGAAGTTCATGGCCCCAAAGAGGGCCCGGACCCTGCGAGACATCTGCTCCGACAGAGAGGCCTGCCCAGTCCAGGAAAACATTGGCAGTGGGGCAAGAGGTCAAGGGGAAAGAGGACACAGTTGGTCAGAGGTCCTGCCCACGGGGCTCCCCCAGGTCCTGGGGATGTGCTTGGGTCTCTGAGAGTCCCCAGGGCAGCCCTCCCTTGTTGTTAAAGATGGGAATACTGAGGACCAGAGAGAGGGGAGGGCCTGACCATCACAGCCTGGCCCAGGTGTCCACACTCCACAAAAGGGGGTGCTGGATACCAAGAGGGGGAGCCACTGCCTTGACAGCCAGGAAGTTGTGGTGAGAAAGTTCCGGACTGGGGGCCAGGTGTGGCTGGAAGACTCCAGAGAGCAGCAATGCACCCCCTCCAGTGACCCAGCCAACCCCTGCCCCAGGCCTTCCCTACTCACCTCAATTTGTGCTAGGGGCCCCCACTCGGCCAGCTTCTGCACCCAGAGTTCAAAGTTGAGGCCAAAGCAGTTAAGGAATGACCACAGGTAAACAGTATCACAAGGTCCAAGCCACAGAGTAGTGATGGCAAAGGTGGCCACGGTGGCCCCCAGCTCTGGAATCACCTCGGAGTGCTCCCCACCAATGTGGTCATACACATACCTGCAAGAAAGGCAGGAGAAAGGACTAGCGGGGGTGTGGGAGAGGGCAGGTAGGAGATGGGCAAAGGATATGCCACAGGGGCAACCCTCCTCAACACCATCATCCCGGGCACGTCCAACATCCCTGACCTCAGATGGCTGCTCCTCTTCCACCCAACTTCAGAATGTGGAAGGCTCAGCTTTGAACTTCGGTGTCTCCTCATCCATTCCCCAAGCGATCTCATCCAGACCCAAGACTTTGAACACTGTTTCTAGGCTGACGAGCCCCAAATCTGTGTCTCTAGCCTGCTCTCTTGACTCACACATCCAACTGTCACTAGACATCTCACTTGAATGACAGAGTCCCCCATCCCTGTCCAAACCCGCTGCATCCTCATCTCAGACAATGACACTTCCATCCATTCAGTTGCATCGAGAAGACGTGGTGCCATCTTGGACTATCCGTTCCCCTCTCCACATCCAAGCCAGCAAATTCTATGGGCTCCACGCAGTCCTGACTGCTGCTTGCCACCCCCACTACACCACCCTTGCCCAGTGGGTCATTTCCTCTCATAGATTATTGCAAGAGCCTCTTAAGTCACTTCCCTGCCTCTGCCTTGGACCCCTACCAACCGTTCTCCACATAGCACCCAGAATCAGAGCACATGACTTCCACAATCAAACCCTCCCCCAAAGGCTCCCCATTACAATTAGAATAAACCACCTCCCTACTAAGGCTAGAAGATCCCACGATGTCTGGTTTCTGCCTCCCTCCCTGACCTCTTCACCCACCATTTCCCGCTCATTCTTGCCTTACTGGCCTTCCTGTCCCTCAGACACAGGCAGCTGGTTCCTGCCTCAAACGTATGCCCTTGTTCCTTCTCCCTTGAATTCTCTTCCCTAGATTTCCTTATCACTCAAGTCTCAATTCAAATATCAGAGGCCTGCCCAGACCATAACTGTAGAAGCTTCTACCCTGTGGCCAGCTTCTATCCCATTACACTTTTTTTTTTTTTATAATGCTTACCACTCTCTAAAATTATTTATGTGTCTGTTTACCTGTTTATAGTCTGTTTCTCCCCACTAGACTGTAAGCTCCATGAGTTCAGGGTCTTTGCCATGTTCACTGCTGTATCTCCAGTGCCTAGAACAGTGCCTGGCACATAGTAGGTACTCAATAAATATTTGTTAAATAAATTCAGTAGAAGACCCATTGAGTAACTGGCCTCTTCATGCCTTGACCTCTTCATTTCCAGTGGTTGCTTCTCCACACCATCTCAGCCACCCACTCCCATGGTCATACTCCAACTTTGTCACCACTTGAAATTTCATTCCTTCCTAGTTATCATTCTCCACCCAGCCCCTCCTGACATGCCCCCCCCCAGCTCCAGTTCTTCAATCTCATTGACCCCTCCCCCTCCCCCTCTTCCTCACCTTGCAACCCTATTTTTACCACCCTCTTTAACTGGCTTAAATTCAATGATCATCATTATAAATAACCTAAAACCCCTCATCCTTCACTTCTTCCTTCTCACCAATCTGGGAGAGCCCAATCTCCCATGGTCTCCTCACCTGCACCCAAGAGGCTAAGCTCTGATAAGGAAAATCTCACACCTTTACATGCTAGAGTCCATAAATCCACTACCTCCAACCCCACCTGGGCTCTCAATGCCAAGGTTTCTCTAGTCAGCTTCTTCTTCCGCCGTGCTCTCCAGTGGCTACTCCACCCTTATCTCTCCCCCAACTGTGAGCGGGTGTGGTGGGTGAGCTAGGCAAGAGGAAACGGGGCCCAAAGATGCTGCCTCCCTCTGTGCCCAACCCGGCATCTCTCAGCTGGTGACCTTGCCTCCTACTTCATGCAGAAAACTGAAGGCTTCCGGTGGATCCTTCTCGACACTAACCCGCCACCCTGCATCCATGCTGGCTTCTGTTCCTCCTTCCTGTCCTGAAGCCAAGCCTCTGCCTAGCATTGGTTCCATCACCTCCTTCCTCCTTGGGGACCTCACTCTATCAATCACCCCTCTGTCCTGCCTCCCAACTTAGACTTCCTCTTAGCAACCGAGCATGTCCCACTATTTGCTGTCTTAACACACCTCACTTCTCCCTTCAGCAACTCCTCTGTCTCCCCCTCAGTAGCTAACTTCCCAGCAGCATCTGACCCAGCTGCCCCCACCGTGCCTGGATGCTCTTCCTTGTTTCCAGACTGTCATGTGGTCTTGACTGTTCTACTCCTCTGATCACACCTTTCAGTCCCTTCTGCTACTCTCTCTTCTCCCCCAATGGGAGTTCTTCCTGCTCCAATCTCAGCCACACCTTCTCTCCTCTTCTTTACTCTTTCTCCTTGGGACTTAGGCACTCCCAAGGACTAAAGACCACCTTCCCACACTCATAAGGCTCGGAGCTGCATTGGTCCTCCAGACTTCTCTGAACCCCAGACCCTCAGACCTAACCACCTCCCTGAACCTCCACAAGAATGTCTCCCAGATTCCAACCATTTCTCACACAGAACCCCTCTCTGGATGCTGCCCCTCCATCTTCCCAGGCATAGGAATCTGGGAGTCATTTCCCTCTCCTTCTTGATCCCCTCAATCCATGGCCAAGTCCTGTCCAAGTTCCCTGCTGTGTGTCTTGACTCCAGCCATTTCTCTCACCTCCAGAGCCCCCACCCATGTCCAAACCTCTGTCTTTCACCCAGACCTCTGCGATGACCTCCTCCTTGCTTCTTCTGGCCCAGGGCTGATCTTTTAAAACGTGGACCCATCTCTGCACTGCCTTGCTCAGACACCTGGTGGGATGACTGTGACCATTACCCCACCCCACCCCAACTCACTTGCAAAGCCAGTCGTTGATGCCACGGTCAAAGTGCCTGAGGGAGGAGGGCAGATGGGTGTGAATCAGCCAGGAGCAGTGCTCCGGGGGAATGGGGGAAAGAGGCTACGGGAAGGTGGGGATCCCAGTGGCTTGTCCCCGGACCTCGCACTCACGTTTCGGCGAAGACATAGAGAGCGGTGATGCACTTAGGAGGCTGGGGAGGGTCCAAGTGGTCAAGGCGCGCCACTGTGTTGACCACGCCGAAGAGGACGGCCGCCTTCACCCAGTCGTACACCAGGTTTGAGTAGGCTAGGCCAGCTGGGGATAGGGTGTCGTCACTGACTGGGGGGCGTCGCGCGGATCTCCGCTCCCCGGACGCCCCAAATCGTGGTAGGGAGGCACGGAGCCAGGCCCTCCCCTACGCCCTCTCTCCGCAGGTCGTAGGGGAGGTCCTGGCAGCCGGCCCGCCCCCACGGAGACCCCACCCCCCATTTCCTGGGGGAGGAGCCGGCCCGGCCGGCCCCAGGGAGACCCCACCCAGGCTGTGGTAATCAACCCGAGGCCCTTGTGAGGCGGCTCTGCCCGTCTGGCTTCATAGAACAAAGCTAACTTCAAGTCCCAGGCATTTCAAAGAGTAAATCCCGGCTCCCCCACCCTTGGATAGGTGCTGTGCCCTCGCAGGGTGTCAGCTCCCCAGCAGTGACGCCATTGGGGCGCAGAGGGTCTGTCTTTCTGTCTTTCCCAGTCCCTGTTCTGGCCCAGTCGCGCACCCACCGAGGGCGCTCTCCGGGAGGCGGTTGGCAAACTTGAGGTCACTGGGGATGGTGAGGATGTAGAAGAAGTGGAAGAAGATGTCCACGGCCATGATGGCCACGACGCTGAGGCCGCCCTGGGCCCGGATGCGCCACAGCTCACCCTCGCGCCTCACCGGCTCCACCTGGCTCATCTGGGGGATGCGAAGTGTCTGAGTGGGGAGGTAAGGCCTCCTGGAGGCATCCTGTCTGAATGGGGCGGGGGGTCACCAACTGTCTGGGGATCTGAAGGTGAAGGGAGATGCACCTTCATCCTGGCAGCTGTGCCTGAGAGTGGAGCCACTTCTCTAGCCTATGATCCCCGTCTGAGCAGGGAATGTGGCCCCATGCTGGGGTCTGAGGAGGCAGGGTATTATGGCTTCATCCTGGGGTTCTGCCTGAGGGTGAGGACACAGCCTGCCCTGGGAGCCCTAGCTGAGATGGGAGCCCCTGTCTGAAGAGGGAGACCCAGCCCTGTTCTGGAAGCCCACAGGGTGTCCGATCACCTGGGCGTGGAAGCGATCAAAGGTCATGATGGGCCCGAAGAAGAAGAAAGGCAGGTAGAAGTTGTACTTGAGCAGGTCAGCTAGGGAGTAGCGGCGGTCAGGGTGGGCACAGCTCTCCAGCGCAAAGCTGGTACAACGCAGCACGGTGAAACCGCTGCCCCCGTGAAACAGCACCTCTTGAAGATCAAAAGTGCCTGTTACAAACCCGCTCTGGATGGGAGAGAACAGGCCGCCAGCTCACCAGGTGCCCCATCTCTGGGAAGCCCACTCAGCTTCCCATAGGGGCCCAGCATTGTCCTGGCCCCTTCCTCTCTTGCAGAGCCAATCAACACTGGCCACTGAAGGCTAATTCATGTTGAGTGCTTGGATAGAGCAGGGAACAAGCTGGATACGTCCCCGCTGCGGTGGAGGGGACCACTTTGTGGGTGGGTATGTGCCACAGTCAGAGGTTTGGAGACAGGTGGGAAAGTGAAGGAAATGCTTGGGGGAGACTCCAAAAGTAAGGGCTTAAATGGGGTGAGCAGTTTGGGGTCCTATTCTTGCACCCTCCACCCTTGCCCTTCCCCAGTGCACACCTGCCAGGAGATGAGGGGATCCAGCTTGAAGGAGGCAAGGCTGGCCAGGCCGAGGCCAAGACAGAGCCAGGGCTGGCCCAAAAGTGAGGCCACATAGAGGCTGACACAGTGGCCAAGCAGCAGCCCCAGGTACCAAGGGCCCATCGTGCCCAGCACAGCCAGGGCCCCATACATGGCATACATCCAGGAGCGGAGCTGTGGACAGGGAGAAGGAATGGTTTATCTATCCATACAAGTGGAGGTGGGACCCCAACCCTTGTTGCTCAAGGGGAGCCGGCAGGGGAGGCTGGGGTGGCTCAGGTCCAGCTCACCTGGGGGGCAACCATCGTGCAGAGTTTAGCAAACAGCACATGTCCAGAGAGGGCGAAGACGACGATGTTTCGGAAGGAGGTGAACCACATCACCCACTCGAAGTCAGCCACGTCCTGGGGCAGGCCCAGGCAGGTTAAGGAGGGGCAGGAGGCAGGATGGGCTGGCGCTTCGGCTGAGCACAGTCCCAGCATCTACCTCCCCAGCCCCCATATTCTTAGGTATTAGAGGACAGCCATGGCTGGAGGCCCTCACCTTCCCTTCTGGGGGAAGTACCAGCCAGGTAGGTAGAGAGAAACAAGAGGTACCATGTGTGCTGCCCTGCCCCCCAGAACCCCCCCTCTGTTCAGCATATTGCCTGACATTCCACCATTAATGGCATTGTTCCTGGGAAGGATGGTGCTGGAGGCCCCTGCTGAAGCATGTCTCAATTTAGTTCCTAAATGAGCAGTGTCTGGGGGCAGGCTTGATGTGGCCCCAGGAGGACACAGTGGGGAAATGGATGGGCCAGTGGGGAAATGGAGGGCTCTGAAGCTCAAGCCAGAGACCCTCCTCACTGTGAGCCCTCTGTTACATGGGAACATCTGGAACGGGGGAGAGTCAGAAAGGGTCCGGGATGGGAGACACATGCCAGGGATCGGGGACCTCAGTCAGGGACCCTGGGGTGTGCGGGACCTACCATCTTCCGGCCAATGTACTCCCAGCCAGGTCTCACAGATTCCCGGAAAGCCTTCCTGTGGACCCCATCTGAGAACAGAGTGTGGCCTCAGTGGGGGCTGCGGGGACTTCACACCCTCACCTGCCCCTACAGCAAGGCTGACCCTCACCCTAGAGGGATGGGAATGGGTCTAGATCTCTCTCTCTCTGCCTCTGCTTCTCTCTGGGTCTCATTTTGTGTCTCGGGCCAGGTCCTGACTGTACCCCCGAGTGTCTCTTTCTCTCTCTCTCTGTCTGTCTGTGGCTCTGTGTGCAGGTCTCTGTCAGTGCCTCTGCATCTGTCTTCTCCCTGTGACTACACCTAGCTCAGCCCAAACCCCGGGGCTTAGGGAATATCCTGGGTCTGGAGCCTTGAAGTTTATGGCCTTGCTGAGTAGAACCCTGAGGCCCGCAGGGGAAGAAGGGTCCCACCCCCTGCTCCAGAGCCCGGCCATTACCTTGTGAAGCTTCAAGGAGACCCCGACCAGCATAGGCCAGAGCCCCACTCAGCACCAGGGAGTATAAGCCCAGCTCCGCCGCGGGCAATGCTGTCTTGATGCTCATAGCCTGGATGGCGCTGGGGGAGACAGATCGGGTGAGGGCACTGCTGCCCCCCAGCCCTGTCTAGCCCCAGCTGATGGTCCCCCACAGAAGTGATAGGGATCCCATTCTGAAGAGAGATTGCCCCTCCTGCCCTCCAGGGATCTCATGCTATTATCCTATCCTATCCCTGTCCCCCACCCCTCCCCTCCCAGATGCCGTAACATCGGTGCCCATTCCTAGCAGCTGTTCTTGCTCCCCCTCTTCCTTTTGAAGGCTTTTGAAAGCCTAACCTTCACTCTCAGCCTGCCTGCCTCACCTTCATTTACTCCTTCATACCTTTCAGGTGGACCGGTCCCCACCTTTTGCTCCAACTGCTCCTGCCAAGGCCTCAGATAATCTTCATGTGGAGGGATTCCATCTATGTCACCTCAATCATGTTTCTGGCCCCCAGGGTCCCCACCCCCCTCAGTAAGCCTCCTTCAGCTACTGACAGTGCCCCCCCCCCCAGTACCCTTTTCTCAGATTCCCACACCCCTCCAGAGCTGCCTTTACTTCTCTGAGATCTCCTGGCCTCCCAGGTCCTGTCCCCAGCATTAAGCTTCCTTACCTCTCATTCATCCTCCAGCCTCTCACTGATTCCCATTGCCCCAACCAGCCCCTGAGCCCCAGCCTGCCACTTCCCTGGTCCCTGCCTTGTGTCCGTGGCCACACCGCCCTCTCTCTCAGTGCTTGTGTATTCAGGCCCTAGATGCTGGCTAGAGGCAGAACTATTTGAAGAGGTGCCCTGGGGTAGTGGGTGTGGGGCCAGGCAGGGCTAGACAGCCCCAGGGATGGTGCTGGCCTCTGTCCAAGGTGCTGACCGGTATCAGGCTCAGGGTTAGCCTAGCCACCCCCTTTTTCCAGGGCCTAGTTCATCCCCAGGAGTCCTGCTGGGCCACCCCCTCCTATGCTCCAGCCTGGCCTTGGGCTTTCCCAAGGGTGCCACGGTTAACAGACCCAGGGCCAAATTAAAGGGAAGAACATGCTAGGCACTTTCTTGGGCTGGGCTGGGCCAAGAGGTGGCTGGCGTGGCCCTGTCTCCCACCCCTGATTCTCCCCCAAATCTCCTTTACCAGCAATGCAACCAGCTCTTCCGGGCCCCCACAGTCAGCATTCTCCCCACTACATAGACAGGGGGGTCATGGCCCAGAGAGGGGCAGGGATCTCTCAAGGTCACACAGTGAGCCTGGGACAGGATTGTGTGTTCCCAGTGAGCCCTCTGGAATCTCGGTTAAGAGCATTGCTGCCCCTGCCCATACCAGGGGGCTTCCCAGACTGACCTCTGCACTGTTGGCCTGAGGGCTGAGGCTCCTCCTCATCGGCCAGGTTGGGGGAGGGAGGCCTGGAGGATCGGGTTAATGGAGCAGGAGTTTGAAACCGGAGCACGGTGAAGAGCCCACAAAATAGCTTTGTCAGCTGCCTCCCACTTGCCACTTTCCAATTTTAGCTCCCCATGGCCGGTGCTGGGTGTCCCCAGTGAGGCCTCCGTGAGCAGGTCCGGGGCTGGCCCCTGGCCTGGGACCTCTTCCAATAGACCCCCGGACCTGGGCCCCCATTGGATACAGCGGTGCCCCCTGCCCCCTGGTCCTGCCTGCGTCAGGTACACCTGAGGTAAAGACTGTTTTAGGGCCTGAAGTCTGGGATGAGGGGCTTGAGGTGGGCTCCGTAGGTCTCAAGGACCCCAGAGTGGCTGAATCCCCTGCTGGCACTGACCTTGAGGAGGCTGTGAGGGACCCTGGCACACTGCCCACCTCGGGGCTCCGGGTTCCTGCGTCCAACCGTGCGTCCGTCCGACCAGCTAGGCTCTGGAGCCACAGTGGGGTGTGTCCAGCCCTGGGGTCCCCACCCCCTCAAGGCTATGAGCGGTGAGTGGTGACAGCAGGAGGAGGGTGGAGGAGGGCAGGGAGGAGGTGGCCTTCCTGGAGCGGAGCGGAGCTGAGCAGAGTGGAGCGGAGCCGAGCGCTGCAGAGCTGCTGGCCACAGGGAGCCGCAGGGAGGACCGTGGCGGGGGGGGGGGGGGGGGGGGCAGGGGTGGGGGAAGGGGTGGCTAGGCTCCAACAGGGACCACCTGGGCCTCACTTCAGCTTGCCTCTCCTGGTCTGTAGAGCCTGTGCCTCTCTCTCACTGCTGGCCAGGACTCCCCTCTTCCAAGAAGCCTTCCAGGCAGCCCTCACTGACCTCCTGTGAGCCCTGCCACCACTGCATGCACACACATGCACACTTCATGCTCCGCTCCATACTCTAGCCCGCACCTTTACATGTGAACTCCTAAGGGCTGTCGCAGGGCAGATCCATCTAGTCCCCTGCCCGGGCTCATTTCATTATGCCAAGAGGCCTATAGCTGGCCAGGCATTGGTGCCTGGGAGAGGACTGGCTTGACTAGTAGGATTGACATGTGGCAGAGGGGGTCCCATACCCCAGCCCTGTTCCATAGGCAGTTGCCCAGGTGGAGGGGTGCCAGCAGGGTCACTGGGCAAGGCTTAACTAGGCTCCTGAAGTGGCTGGCATCTCTTGAGTGTCCCTAACCAACCGGGAGCCCTCTGGGGGCAGGGGACATGGCCCTCACTTGTGCAAGGGGCAGCCAAGGCCTCAGCCCAGCCTTCCCAGTGGGGAAGGGTATCCTAAAGAACCTGCCAAGAGGACAGGAACATCTGACAGTCTCCCTTTGGGAGGAGGACCTCAGCGTCTAGGGGAGCTGCCATCTCTGTCGGGGCCAGTTCATGCATATGCAGTGAGCAGGATCCGGAGTCTGGGGGGGTTGAAGGAGCTGTGTGACTGTAACAAGTCACAGGACAGGTCCTGGAGCTCCTGCTGATCCCTTGACTCCAGCCACGGGCTCAGCGGAGGATGGGGAAGGAAGGGGCTGTGCCCTGTGTCCCTCCCCCATCCTCTAGCAGGGGAACATCCAGAGCCTGACCAAGGTCTGAGAAGGGGAGGGAGAGTCTCCTACCCTCCCACGATGCCCTTAGGCAATGAGCTGCCTCCCAAGCAGACACATTGGCCCAGAGGAAGAAGCAAGGAGACCCCAGCATACATGCCACACAGAATGACACGGAGACCTTCATCACTGGTGCCCCGCCCCGAGAAGTGTACACGAAGATCACTGCACACTATAGGGGCTGGGTGAGGGCTGCTGTTGGGATCGTGGGCACCAGAGTTGGCCAGCCTCAGGGATGGATGCCTGAGCCAGACTGCAGGGGTTAGGGAGGGCTTCCTGGACAGGGGTGGGGGTGGGGGTACACCTGAGCAGAGTCCTAAGGTAGAGTCAATGGTTGTTAGAAGGGTAGTAAGCTAATCACAGTAGCCGGGCACAGTTCTAAGGCTTTACATGGATTCTTTAATGTCACCACAGCCCCTAGGGAAGGTGTTACCATTTTCCCCAGTTGATAGAAAAGGATACTGACGCACAGGAGGTCAGCCCCGTAAGCTTCTGGAGCTGATCACCCTGCAGGGGCAAGAACCCTACACATCCAATCCACCCGGGGTGCGGGCTGAGACCAGCCTGGGCCGGCCACTGAGTTGGTGCCCCCATGAGGCTCAAAGAGAATGGCTCAGAGAAGCAGATGGGGGGTGGATCCGCTTCTCGGAGCCTCAGATCCTCATTTGCAAATGGGCCTGCTCTGACCTTATTGGGCTTTTGGGGGGATTCCATGACTCACTCCATGAAGGGCGTGGCTCACTGAATTGCCCAGAAAGAGAGCCACAGATGCCTCGCTCCAGAAGCCCAGAGAGGCAAGGCTCACATAGCAGGAGCTGTGCACCGGGTGACCCCACGCAGCGGGGTCTGCAGGGAGCCCGGCATTTGGGGATGGCAGGCTCGATAGAGGGCTAGGGAGGCCTCCTGGACCTGGCGCTGGACAGTCCAAAGCCAGCTCCACCCTGTATGAGGGTGGTGGCAAGGGAGGGTGCCTGGCATGACCAGCCCACAAAACAAGAGCAGGAAGCTGAAGGAGCTTAGACCAGCACAAGGGCCTGGGGTCAGCTTCCCGAAGGCCGCCAGGGCTACTGGGAGAGATGCTATGGGCAGGGGGTCAATTCTCTCAAGTCTCAGCATCCTTTCTCATTTCTTGGTGTGTTGTTGCTCAGAGTAAAAACACATAGTATCCCGTGTGTCTGTAACTGTGTTTTGTGTCAGTTGCATGTAGGGTGTGTGTTTTGCGTTGTATGTTGTTTATGGCATGTGCTTGTTGTGTATGTGTATTGCTGCATGCACTGTGTGTGCACGTGTGTGTATATATGTGATGTGTGTACTGTGTTCGTGGGTATATGCAAGGCTCAGGGGCTGTAGGCGGTGCCTGTGGAGAGGGGCTGGGGTGGCCGTGGGCTCACTGGCGGTGGAGAGGGAGAGGCGAGGCCACTGCATATGGGGGCTCAGAGGAGGACCCCCGCTGCAGGCCATCCTGCCCTGAGCTCCTGAAAGCAGGGAGGGGCCCCGTGGCAACGGAACGTATTTGGGGCTCGAATCAGCCTGAACCAGGCTGTGACCTTGTCCAGCTCAGCGGTGGTGCCCGAGAGGCCTTCGTGGGGATGGTGTCCAAGCCACACCCACAGCTCTGTCACGTCTCACCTGTCAGTGCGGGAACCTGAGCACCCAGGCCTGCGGCACCTGCCGGGGGTGCAGCCAGGGAGAGCCCTCACGTGAGGCCTCTCCCCGGCCCAGCCTTTTAACTTGTCCTTGCCCCTCCGCTCTCCAAGCACCTCTGTCCCCCTCCTACCACTTTGGCTCTGGGCAGGGACCTCAGCGTTCTCATCTGTGAAAGGCAAGTCCAGCCCACCGGCCGCCCACCTGCCTGAGGGCTGGGGAGTTCCTCCTCAGGGTCCCAGGGACAGGTGGTGCTGCTCGGGAGGGGCCACGGGCACTAAGCTGGACAGACCAGGCTGCCCCCCTCCCCGCCTGGCCCACTTGCAATAGATCCTCAGGGCCCCAGTCCTTGGCCCCTTTGACAACCCCTTCCTTCCTTAAAAAGTTCTGCTCCCCGGCTCCACCAGCCGCCCCCCACCCCTCAGGGAAATATGAACAGCTCCCTCCCATCCAGATCTGGGCGATGAGCCTGGAAGCCTCAGCACAGAAGCTGAGAGGCTCGGAGGGGCTGCATTCTGTCTCTGCATCCCATACCCTCCTGCTCCATCATGGCCCTACTGCCCAGGCCTCTCTGACCTGACCAGGAGCTCCCTGAAAAGAGCAAGTCAGAATCACGTCCGGGCCCCTCACAGGCCCAAAGAGCCTGGAATGCCAGTGACATTCCCTGCCCGGACGGCTGGCCGGCTGAGCGGATGGTGGCCTGTAAGTCTGTCTGCCAGCTGGCAGGGGCCTTCCTAGAGCGCACCCGAGCCCGTCGTGCCTGGGGCCGGGGGGCTGCTCCACAAGGTGCTCGCTGAGCTAACAGGGCTAATGCTGAGGCCCAACATTTATTGAGTGCTTCCTGGGGGCCAGCGCTGCTCTAGCACTTGATACTTTTTCACAGTGACTCCCGCAGAGGGATGCTGATGGGGGGATGGAGCAGCCTTGGTCTCACTAAGCTGGGGCGCTGATGGCAGGTGCCCGCAGACGTGACAGGGACCCCTGGCACGCAGCTCCACAGCAAAGCTCTCAAGGCTGCTCGTAGAATCTGTAAGTTGAGACAGTTGTCTTTATGCCCACAGTTGGCCTAAGCAAGGATTGAGCACCCAGTTGACCTCTGCAAGATGCCAGTTAATCAGCTGACCCCCAAATGAGCAAACAAGATTTACTAGGCCTGACTTCCCACTCTCTCTCATGTAAATCCTGTTTTATCTTTGTGGAATGAAACCAATCTATTGATACATGCCCCTTGGACAGAAGTAAAAGGCAACCTCATAATGAGCTAAATGTCTTTGAGCTATTCTCTGACACATGTAACAGCCGCCCCTGGAAGGAGGTTTCTATTCTTGTCCCCATGTTACAGATGAGGACATGGAGGCTCAGGGAGGTTAAGCAACTCGCCCAAGGCCACACAGCTGATGAATGGGGAAAGAGATGTGCCCCTGGCACCCCCACCTATTCAGACCTTGTGACTTGAGGCCCTTTCCTCTCTCAGACACAGCCCTGAGCCAGGAAGGCAGCCAAACCACCCTCGAGTGGTTAGGGTGTGGGTTAGGCCACCCTGCACTTCCCTGAGGAGATCCCTGCCTCTCTGCCCATCCCTGAGGAAGGATAGCTGGTCCTCTGCCTGCTTATCCCTCCCAGGGACTCCATGAGGGCTGGAGCCTGTCCCCGCCCACACTCAGATCCCCTGTGGCGCTCCCCCACGCCTACAGGGGAAGGTACGGACTACTCGGTCTGGTGCCACGACTCTGCGTGGGGCCCACTCCTCACCGTCACACGCTGTCCCCTCCCAGCACGCGGCCTCTCAGTCCCTCTGGCCAGCTCCTTTCACAAGGAATCAGAGAAAAACTCTTACCTTCCCGGGACTCTTAGGACCCTCTCAGCATTGCTGCTTCGTCCTGATGGCCTTCACTACAGCTCGCCAAGGGACCTCTAGACCTGTGTCACTCCAGGCAGGGTCAGGGGCGTCCTGGCTGCGGGGGGCCAGCGCAGAGTACCTCCACAGCCCCCACCCCTGAGGCAGGGCCCGAGCAGACAGGTCCCAGGAGCCCCAGGTGGCTTCCCTCCAGAAGGTCTCCGCACGGCACGCGCGCCCACACCTGCGAGTCACTCTGCTAGTGACCGGTCTGCGTGGGTGGGAGTGTGAGCACATGCCCATGTGGAGGGCCTGGGAGTGCGCAGCCGGCCCTGTCTGGGGGTGCGTGTATGCCCCGTACAGCTGCGTGCTCCCGAGTCTAAGTATTTCTGTGCACCTGTGGCTTTGTGGGGGCCTGGGGGGTCTGGTCGGTATGTGTGGCTGTGGGTGACTTTCCTTAGGGCCCCCCTTTCCCAGAGCTGTGAGTGCGGGGAGGCGGGGGTGACGCTGTGACAGTTACAGAGGGACGTGGGGGGCTCACCCCTCTGCGGCCGTGAGGGAGGAGCACCACGCCTTGGCCCGGACTCACTGCCTCAGACCCTCCTGCCCAAACCTCCTGCCCAGCCCCCACCCCAAACAGGCACCCACTAGCTGCAGCCTTGTGGAAGCAAATGGAGGGGACTCCCGGAGCAGCTGGTTGGGGGTGGGCACCCCCACCCTGGCGAATCGCTCAACTGAGAGGACCCTGCTTTTGTAGTCAGGCGGCCCAGGGTTAAATGTTAGCCCAGCTTCTTTCCATAAGCCTCAGTTTCTTCATCTGCAAAAGAGGGTGCCAAATCCCTGGGTTACTAGAGGACTAGGCGGGGTCAGGTTTCCATGGTAGATGCTCACTCACTGGGACCTGTGGCGGTCGTGAAAATAATATTATTATAAGTCCGAGGGTCTGCGGCTAAGGAAAAGCCCTGAAGAGAGGGCTTGACAAAGTGGCTGGGAGCACGTGCCCCCAAGTCTGCGAAAGTTGGGGGGTGGCCACAGAGGGAGCCGTGGAGGGGGGAGCTGGGGGAAGGTGGGGGTAATGCCCTGGTGAGGCAGGTGGGTGGGGCTGCGGGAGGCTCATCCTGGGCCGATGGAGGCCTGTGGGCCTGCAGGGCCTCCCAGCTAGGCCCGAGGCCAGGTGGGGCGAGAGCACCTGGCCCAGGGGCTGCATCTGTCTGTCTACAGCTGGCTTATCGTCCCAGAGCTCTCGCTGGTGCTGAGCAGGTCGCCGGGCCTCCTCCCCTGCCATTGCCCGGCCTGTCCAGGGTTGCCTCCAGGGCTCCTCCAAGGCTTCTCCTTTGCCCTCCTGGTCTGAGGTGTTGGCTCTGCTCACCCTTGGGGAACCTCTTCCGGGAGAAGGGGCGGAGCTGGTTGCCCAGGTTGGCTTCTGGGAGCAGGAGCAGTCCTCTCTGGGCCTAAGGCTGCCCCGTCCCACCAGGCTGACACCGGGCCACCATCCTAGTAGTGTCTGCCTTCTGCTGCCGCAGGGCCTGCAGAAAGACCCCTTTCACCTGGCCCAGGGTCTCGTGGTACATTCGGAAATCCTCCTCCTTTCCACGCAGGGCACTGCCCAGGGCAGCCTTCAGCATCTCGTTTTCCTCCACCTGGATGGCCAGCCTGGGCCACATGAAGAAAGGGCTCAGTGCGGCCCACGCGAGCATGCGTGTGTACAGGGGTGCTGGGAACGGGGCTGCCAGCGAGGCTGCTCTTGAGGCTCGGGGTTCTCTCTGACCCGTCCCCTCCTCCCACGGACCCTGGGGGAATACCATGTGGGATTCCTCTCTGGGCCCACCCACAGCCCTGGGCCTGGCACCCAGTAGCACCCCCAAATGTTGGCTGCCTCAAGGATAAGTACTAATCTATAGGGGTCCCTCCATCCTTCCTTGAACATCACTGCCTTTGACCCTGAAAGTTTAACTGAGTGAGAGAAGTGGCTTCAGCAACCCAGGCTTAGTCCAACTCTCGGAACTCGGAGGCCATCGGAGATGCGGCTGGGTCTCTCTGCCCTCTGGCGCCAGGCTGCTAAATTGCAGGCCTAGACCCCAGGACCCCAGCAGGCAGCCCTCTGAGCAAACAGAAGTCAAACTGGGAGGGACAAGATGCTTCTGCCCATCAGAGTACCTCCGCGCGGACAATGCCACCCTCCGGAAGATGGGGCAGGAGAGCACCTGGTGGTCAGCTCCTCCATCTGTGATTCCATGGGCACATTGGAGAGCTGGGTGAAGGATGGGTCCTTCCTTTCACTCCTGTTCGGGTTGTGCCTGGTGCTGGAAGTGGGCGGACCTGTGGGGCGGTAGCAGCCACTTTCTGTGATGAGGCCGTGGCCCCGTGTCAGTGCTCTTCTTCTCCCCTCTCCACCCCACTGCCTAGTTCCTGCTTTTCCGCTTGCTGAAACATTATACTTCCTTCAAGATGGAAGACAAGGCATAGCATACCAAGTTGTCAAACCACTATGTTGTACCCCGAAAACTAACACTGTGTGTCAACTATACTTCAATCAAAAAAAAATTTTATTTTTAAGATGCAGGACAAGGGCTGCCTCCCTCCCGGATGCCGGCTCTGCATTCCCCTGGACTCACACTTTAGTCTCTGCTACAGCCCTGATTGTGCTTGCTTTGTACCAAGGTGGTTCCTCTCTTTACTGTCTCCATCTTTGCAATTCACAATGAGTCTAGATCAGAACCGCCTCTGATGCCCTCATACCACTGAGTCCCCCTTGCCTCCAAAGCCTACCCTGACCAGCAGCTCCCTACAGGGAGTCCAGGGGGGCCAGGGCCAGAGGCCACAGAATACTCAGAAAAAGAAATCAAAGGCAACTGGTGGGAATTTGGGCGCAATCCAGCGTCAGAAAACCTGTGCTGAAAAGGCCCTCAGAGGTGGCGTGGTTCTTGGGAATGGTGTGGCCCAGGGAAAAATCACCTGGCATCAGTAGACTTGGCTTTCACCCCCTGCGTGTGGCCTCAGGTAAACCATCAACCTCTCTGAGCTGGTTTTTTCATCTGTAAAATGAGGATAATAGTTCTTGCCTCTAGAGCTCTCTGAGGCCTGGGTGAATTCACATTTTTACCTCAAGGCTCTGTGTGATCGGACCACCTCCTTAGTATTCTGTCACTGCTCTGACCTTGCCTCATACTCCCCTCCCCTCACCATGGGCCAGCCTCACTTGCTATTCCTTGCTGTTCCTTCAAGCCTCCCACCAAGCTCTCATCGCAGTGCCTTTGCACTTGCTCCTCCCTCGAGTATCGGTATGCCTCACTCCCTGCCCCTCCCACTGTCCCTGTGCAGATGTCAACTCCTCAGGGGGCTCTTCCCTGGCTTCCTGGAAACCAGCTGCTCTCTCAGCACCTCCTATCCCCTCCTCGGCAGCGAGCCTCAGCACCTGCCTCCATCTGACTTAGCATGTCTTTTACTGGTTTTTTGGTAATTACCCATCTTCCCCACTGGAGTGGAACTGCCGTGGAGGGACCAAATTCCAGACTCAGGTCTCCTCATTCTACAGATGGGGGTGCTCCACTCCCTGAAGCAGTGGTGCTCTGCCCACGTCATAGGCCAGCAGGTGGCAAAGGCCACATGGACACACTTTTTCTCAGGCCACTGCTCTTTGCTGTCTAGGCGGAACCAAAATGGTTTTTCCCACCGTGGCCGAGCACCCCCTGGTTGGGTTACTCAGGTCATAAGCCCAAGGCCTAGAGACACCACATTCTTAAGGGACCTATTCTTGAGGGCCCAGCAGGGCTAAGTTATAGGGACCTTCCTCAGCCTGGATTCTCAGCAGCAACTGGAAGGGCCCTTGAGGTCTGGGCCCTGCTGGTAGGAGAAGAGAAAAGGGCACAACTCCTGCTTTGTGCCTCATTCCTGGCACATCCTTTTGAAATGTTCTGATCTCATCTGGGCTGGGGACAAAGGTCTGAGTGTCCTCACTAGGGGAGAGGGTGGGGGATATACTGGGATGTTGAGAGGCAGGGCAGTAGGGGGAACACCTCCACTCCAGAGCCTGTAGGGGGTTGGGATGGGGACGTCAGAGGGAGGCAGGTCCTAGCCCCTCTGTACTAAAGATTCTTCCTTCCTTCACTTCTGGCTCTGGCATCCCATGCCCCCAGCTGGCCCCAGCCTCACAAGATGCTGATGCTGCTGGTCCAGGGACCACACCTGAAGAATCTCTGTGTTAGGGGACGCCTGGGTGGCTCATTCGGTTAAGCGTCTGCCTTCAGCTCAGGTCATGATCCCGGAGTCCCGGGATCGAGTCCCACATTGAGCCCCATATCAGGCTCCTGGCTTAGTCTGCTTCTCCCTCTCCCTCTGTCCCTCACCCTGCTCTTGTGCTCCCTCTCACTCAAATAAATAAATAAAATCTTTTTTTAAAAAAGAATCACTGTGTTAGAGAATAGATCTTTTAGTTTAGGACAGCAAGATCTCTGTCTGCCGCTAGGCGTGGTCATGTGACTAGGATCTGCTCAGGAGATGAAGGCAGAAGTGACAGAGCAACCTTAGGATCATGCCCTTAAAAGGTGAGGAACAGGTTGTCGCCTCCCCTCCTACCCTTCCTGCTGCTGGTGGGGAAGCTAAAGCAGCCATCTTAGACCGTGGCGGCCGCATGTTGAGCACGGTGGAACACAAGACAGAGAAGCCCGGTCCCCAAGACTACAGAGAAGCCACTTCATCCCTGCTCAACTGCTGTCGGAAGCAGAGAGGGATTCTTCTCCTGGTCAGCCACTGCCATCCTGGCCTCCTCAGCAGGCCAACTTTACCCCAGGACCAACTCTAAACAAAGTCAGCTCGGGACAGAGGGTTAAGGGTTGGGGTGGGGGTGGTAACTGAGGCTATTTAGCAGAGGCACTGCCACCTCATATAAGGGTTTGCAGGTGTCTGGGTCAGGGCCACGTGCAAGCCCTTTGGGGCTCCTGGTTCTGACTAGGAGGCCCAGGAAAGAGGACCCCCCAGCAGCATGGGCAGGCAGAGCTCCACCCTGATGGAGGCCTCTGCTTCCCACCTTCTTCTCGAAGGGACTGAAGTGGTGCTGCTGACAGGCTCCTCCAGTAGCAGCAAGGCCACCCCCCTGCCACTGGGGCCCCTGGTCCAGCCCCTACCTGTTTTGCTCCTGGGGGCTGCTCTCTGACTGACTGACGTCCTCCCAGGCTCCAGGCGCATCTTCTCCAGATGCTGCTCCAGCACCACGTTGCGTTGCCGCTCCTCCTGCAGCTTCTTCTCTGATTCCAGAAGCTTGCTGTTGCTCTCCTCCACCCTGATGATTAGACAGGAGGGGCTGCCATACCCCAGGGCAGGCAGGGGCAGCCCCCACCCCAGCGGCTCTGGCTCTCAGAGAGGCAGGCGCATCTTACACTGGTGGTGGTGTGACTTGTTCTTTGTTTTTACTGCGGGGACATAGGAACATGTGTTTGAAAGTCATATAGTTCTCTCCAAGGCTTAAAATGGAAAGTTTGCCAGCCACTCACACGCCTCCCCAGTCCCATTTCCGGCTCTCCAGAAGCAATCATTTAGAACACTTTTAGCTGTTTCTTTGAATATTTACTGCCGTATTTCTACAGATGTCCATACTGCTATTTTTTAAGGCTTAAATATAATCTTTCGACTTCCTGTCATGCAACACGAGAATGTAGCTTTAGTTTAACCCTCTTCCCTTACCAAACAGAATCACCCCTCCACCTCCTAATGTAGTTACATATCATTTTTCAGCTGAATTAATAGTAGGGGGTGTATTAGTTTTCTATTGCTGCTGTAACAAATTAGCACAAATTTAGCAGCTTAAAACAACACATATTTATTATCTCACAGTTCTGGAAGTCAGAAGCCCAGCAGGCTCTGTTGGTTTGTCTGCTCCAGGTTCCAAAAGCCAAAATCAAGGTGTTGGCTGACCTGGGCTCTTACCTGGAGGTTCTGGGAGAGAATCCACTTCCAGGCTCACTCAGGTTATTGAAAGAATTCAGTCCCAATGGAAGGACTGAGATCCCTGTTTCCCGATGGCCTCTGGCTGGGTGATTTTCATCTTTTAGAGGCCACTTGGCCCGCTCCATCTTCAAGGCCAACCAGACACCCTTAGCATGCTTTGAATCTATCTGACTTCCTCTGAAGCATTTCTCTGGCTGACCCTAGCTGGAGAAATTTCTCTGCTTTTAAGAGCTCAAGCGATTAAATTGGGCCCACCTGGTAATCCAGGATAATCTTCCTATTTTAGGGCCCATAACTATAATTACATCTGCAAAGCCCCTTTTGCCATATATCATAAAGTATTCACAGGCACAACAGCAGAGAGCAAAGGGCATGGGGGACAAAATCCTGACTACCACAGGGAGTTACATTAGAACAATTATCCAGACATGGAGCGTGGTAATGATCAAATTTTCTTTCTTATTTATTTATTTTTTTTGCTTTTCTCGGATTTAGTGATTGCTTTCTGTTTATTATTATTTATTGTTATTACTTATTATTATTTTCTATATGCCCATCATGAATTCATGGGACTTGAAGACATTGCCATTCGGCCATTTCACAGGAAGGATTTGTTTAATCTCACTAGAGCTGGGGAAGTATGGCCTTCCAGACTTCTGTGATACAAAAGGCTCAGCTAGAAGGCCAGGACTCCCCGAAATTTAACCTAAGCAAAGGGTTGCATACACACAGGCAAATCAGAGTGGAGGTCTGGAAATTTATAGTGTTGGAGGAAGTGGTCTTCCACTTCGGTGCAGAGTCAAGATGGAGCAGAATGGTGACAATTTTGAACAGCATACAATTACTAACACAAAGCTGTATACTAACACAGTTATACAGCTACTAACATGACTTGTTCAAGCATGCTCCTTGAAACTTTATTTGCAAAAGCAAAAAAAAAAAAAAATCTACAGGTCCATCAATAGAAGAAATACAGAGTTAAGTGGTAAATATAATACCATGGAATGTGATAGAACATGACAGGGTTCAACACAGTGGCTGCCGGCCTCATGTCCACAGGTAGCTATTTCAGTTGAAATTAATGAAAATGAAATAAAATTAAAAATCAGTTCTTCAGTCACACCAGCCACATTTCAAGTGATCCAAGCCACATGTGGCTAATGGCCACTGCATTGGACAGCAGAGCTCTAGAACACCTCCTTCATCACAGAAAGTTCTGCTGGACAGCACTGCTCTGGCAATGAGAAAGAATGAGGTAGGGCTACATGTATAAACACAGATCTCCAAATCATGGGATTGGAGAAGAAAAACAAATGTCACAAGAATACATACAATATGATGCCATTTATGTAAATAAAGGACAAATACATCATAGTGGATTAACACAATAAAAACACTCCTTAACCATAAAAAGAATTTGGACTGACCTGAAGAGGATGTCTGAGATATATTATTGAGTGAACTAAATAGCAGAAGATTATGCATAATATATGACCTAATTAAAAATTTTATAACAGATTAAAAATTTAAAAACAAATAGATACCAGTGCTAATGAAACTCAGCCAATGAGCTGACAACAGGGATGTGCAGCAGCTACTGACTAGTCAGCTGGGGTGAGAGGCTTTCATTTTTCTGTCGTGTATTTCAGCAATGTTTGCATTTTGTTGAAGTGTGTATTCTGTTTGTGCTAGGGGAAATAAGAAACTAACGGCAAACACCACATCAATGCTAAAGCACTTTATGAATTCCGACAAAATTTAGGAACAACCAAACTTTTGGTTTCTCCTCCCAAATATGCCTTCCTCATCTTGATAAATGTCCCCACCACCCATGTAGATGCCTGGTCTAAATACCCAGGCGGCATTCTTGCCTTCTCTCTCTTCCCTGCTGCTTTCAGCTTCCAATTTATCAGCAGGCCCTATGGCTTTTCCTCCAAACACATACCAGAGCCAACTCCTTCTCACTCCTTCACCTGGAGTGTGGCCTGGTCTGGAGCTGCTCCTCCGCAGGCCTCCACAGCTTCACGTTCTACTCAAGACTTCCCATTGGGATTCTGATTATTCTCTTTTGACCAGCCTTCATTCTCACAGATTTTTTTCTTCTTCGATCATTAACTGGGCTAATTCGGCTCAATGCTTGTTTGTCATGGTTTTGGGGGTGACTCTAACAGCTCTCTCAAACCATGTGCCTCAACCTCCTGACAGACCAGATTTTTTTTTGACTTTGCCTTTTCACTTTGTAATTGATTTTTATCATATTTCAAGAGTCTGACCAAACTGACCCAATGGCAGTGTAAAGTGAATAATATTAAGTAAGGCAAGTCATTAGTGAATATTTTCATGTAAAAATTTTGCTTTTGTAAGGACTCTAAGTGTGGGGATACTGATAAAGAATACTCAGATAAGGAGGTCCTCCTACCCAGGTATTAATTTAATATAAATGATATAAGACCTTTATGAAAGACAAACAGACATGATATTATACTACATATATAATACTCTATACATAATTCATAAAGAGCTCTTTATGGATGTAAAGAAAAAATATAAATGACTCCCTAAAAAATGTGCAACACTTTGAATAGATATTTAACAGAAAAGAACATGTAAAAGGCTATAAACATGTGAAAAATATACTCATCCCCACTTTTGGTTATAGCAAAGTAGATAAAAACAACTGAGATAATAGTGTTCCTTTATTAGTTTGGCAAACATGTTATGCATTGATAAAACTTTGTGGAGGTGAGGGCATGGGGAAATGGTAGGTAGTTCACATTATTAATGGGAATGCAAATGGATTCACGTTAAAAGGGAAGTTTACCATTATTTGTGAACATTTAAATGTACACATTCTTTGATCCAGTGATTCCACATTTAGAAACTTACAGTGATATACTCTCATAAAAATGTAAAGATGTGTTTAGTGTGAGTCCATCTTGTAATAAAAATGTAGGTGCATATATGTGCACATATGTATATTCACGTATACACATATATTTGCAGATGCATTTTTGGATGTGCAAGGAAAACATTTTAGAAGTTCTGACAGTTCTTTTCTATGAGGAATGGGGAACTGCAGGTTGGAAAAGGAGGCTTTTCACAATAAGTAAGTATACGTTTGTAATAGAAAAACTAATAAAACCTTCAATCGCATAGAGCAGGAGTTTCGATGCCAATGTGAGGGCAGAAGCTGTAAACCTGGACTCCTATTAAGCAGCAAGCTGCAAGGAAGCTCTCTGCATGATTCTGGAAGCCTCAAGAGTGCCCTGTTTGCAATAAAAGACTGAGACATCCGTAAGCCAGGGAAGTGGTAAGGAAACCTGTAGTCAACCAAGGCCTTAAGTGTGGGAGGGGGGAAGCACCGATCATGAGAAAATTGAAACACAAGCCCAGCACTCATGTGCTCAGGAAACCCTAAACCAATAAATTAGCATAAAGTACTGGGAAGGGAAGAATGAAGCGGGGGAAATCTGAGGGGTAGACGAACCATGAGAGACGATGGACTCTGAAAAACAAACTGAGGGTTCTAGAGGGGAGGGGGGTGGGAGGATGGGTTAGCCTGGGGGTGGGTATTGAGGAGGGCACATTCTGCATGGAGCACTGGGTGTTATGCACAAACAATGAATCATGGAACACTTCATCTAAAACTAATGATGTAATGTATGGGGATTAACATAAGAATAAAAAAATTAAAAAAAATTAAAAAAAAAATAAATTAGCATAAAGTACCAATGAGAGACCACTGAAACCCCCAAAGCTCCACAGAGACAAAAGCAGAACCATTCCATAGGAACACTTTCATAACCTGAGAACTCCCACAGAAAAAAGACAAAAAGTCAACAACACTGAAGACAAGCTCATAGAAATAACACAGAAGTACAAACCACATAGAGAAATTATTCACCGTGAGGGGGAGTCAACAGACATTACTTAGGATCCTAACTAATGAAGATGATAGAGCAACTCTAAAGGGATGAAGTAAGTTTAAAATTATTACAAGGAGAAAAGCAAGAAGTCTTCATGAAGAACACTTCTTTTTTACACAAAAAAGAACTGCTAGAAATGAAAAAAATACAGTTATTAAAATAGGTTTCATGGCAGATGAAGTGCAACTGAAGAGATTTAGGGAGCAGATTTGAAGATTTGAAGAAACCACGCAGTTATCAGCCCAAAATATCACGAAGGTTTGAGAACTGCAGAGGAAAGAAGAAGAAGGTCTAACAGGGGCTGACTAGGCATTTCAGATGGAAAGAACAGAAACAATGGGGAGAGGCAACATATGGAGAGATGTCCTTGGCAATATATAAACTGAAGTCCTCGGAATGAAAAAGCACTTCAATTACTAAGTAGGAGAAATACAATGAAATAAAGTACCTAGACCCATCACAGTGAGACTTCAAAATACCAAAGACAAAAGGAATATCTGAAAAAACATCTAGAGAGAAAGGACATAACTATGAAGGAACAACAACCAAACTGATAGCAGGTTTCTTTTTGGCGACAATGGATGCTCAAAGACAATGAGCTATCATAGTGTCCCGGTGCTTAGAGAAAGTACCTGACCATCTAGAATTCTACACCAAATGAAATTCTCCTTCAAGAGAAAGGCAAAATAAAGATTCCAGAGTAAACACCATCCACATGGTCTCGCTGAACTAAAGGATGCACTTCACTAAGAAGGAAGCTGAACCCAGAAGGGAGATTGAAATGCAAGAAGCAAGAGTGAGGGAAGACATTTTTAAGTATGTTGGCCAAAGTAAACGAACACTGACTAATTTTTTAAAAGATGAATTTGGAGGGTTAATTTCAGAGGGTTTAGAAAGAAGAATGCAATATTAGAGAAATATTAGAAACCAGTAACATGAAAGACACAAGTAGGGGAATCAGAGTTAAACATTGTAAATATATTGGGGCACCTGGCTGGAGAAGCATGTGACTCTTGATCTCGGGGTCATGAGATTTTTATTATCAAAGGGATAATAAAGAAATCTACAGACTTTAGACTTGCTGAATTCTATGTTAAAAGTTACAGGTAACCACTAAAAGGATAGAGATAGAATATATAACTTCCAAGCTTGCATGTAAGAGAGGGAGATAAAACCTGACCTAGCCAATAGAAAAGATAAAACCTGACCTAGCCAGCAGAGAAAAAGGAGCAGAAAAATCGTGGCAAATAGAAAATATTAATTGAGATGATCAAAATATTTCCAAATATTACAAAAAATGGATTAAACTCTCCTCCTCAAACACCAAGTCTCAGATTGAATTTCAAAACAAAGCCAAGGGGTGCCTGGGTGGCTCGGTCGGTTAAGGCTTGGTCAGTTAAGTGTCTGACTTGGTTTCAGCTCAGGTCATGACCTCAGGGTTGTGGGATCGAGCCCTGCATCCAGCCCAGGTCGGGCTCCAAGCTCAGGGGGAGTCTGCTTGGGATTCTCTCTCTCCTTCCCCCTCTGCCCCTCCCCCTTCTCTCATGCATGCGTTCTCTCTCTCTCTCAAATAAATAAATGAAATCTTTAAAAAGAATAAAAAATAAAAATAAAGCCAATTATATGCTTTTCAAAAAGAGACATGTTTAGTGACCTCTGTCATGGAAGACTAAGTGAACTAGCCCCTCCTATTGTAAACAACTAGAAAAGTGGATAAAATATAAGAAATAAGAAACAGCAATGTTCTCAGACACTGGATAACAGGACGAGAGGCACAGATCCTTGGACACAGGCCTTGAGAGAAGGGAAACAAGGACGAGCTCTACTGTTGTTTTTAGTCTGACTGCACCAGGTGAGGGGGTGAGGGGACCCCACGCAGAGCACAGTGGTCTCACTGGGATAAGGACACAGGACCAGGGACTTGCAGGGCCCTGAGGCCACTGGAAGGGGTAGGGCAGAGTATGAGAGGGGGAAGCTCTGCCTCCCTGATGCGAGACTGGAACAGACCCCCCAGAAAAAGAAGGGAGTAGATACTGGGGTGAGAAATCCCAAGAGGTTTGGGGGCATCCAAATGCTTTCCTTGTGTGAGCACTGTGGGGCAGCAATGCCCCAGAGCAGAAAAGGCCGTGTGTCTTAGCTAATGGGCCTGGGACAGCCCCCGAGAGCTAGCTCCCCTGCACCCTAAAGTGACACAGAACAGCAGAGTGAACCCAAAAATGTCAAGCTAAGAGAAAAGCACACACGCGTGACTCATAGTGAGTGCCTTGCTTGCCTCACACGAATTCCAGCTCTGCATGGGGAGGCCCTGGAAGAGGAAATAGCACGTGCAGAGAGAGGCCAGTAAAGGAGAACCCAGGCAGCTCTGCCGAGCTTCCAGAGGACCCGGGCCATGTGAGTGATGCAGGCGTTCTGTGGAATCGAATCCCTGAGGTAACCCACGGAACCTCGAGAAAGAATAAACCATCGTGTTTGAAGCACGAAGCATGGAATGGTCTGTTACACAGCAATGCATAACGGAGTCACCTTGGTTCACTCAGGGCCAACACTCAGGGCCACTCGAGGGAAATGGGAGTACGTTTCTTCCATTTGGTAGACTAGAGGCTTGTACTATCCACTACATTTTAGTTGCAGAAAAAGAATTAATGTTACTTTTCTCTTATCTCTGAGTATGTCTGAAATTCATATCCTCTTCAGGGATTACATGAAAAGGGAAAAAACACTGAAAGCTGGTCACTTCTCACTGCTTAGGTACTGACCACTTCCCAGCACCCCTCACTCCTTCTTTGGTAACGGTACTCTGTTTTGCCCTTTGGCAAGCTGCCCCTCCTCCATTCTGTGAGCACCTGCAGGTACTTCCAGTCAAGGTGCCTGGCCTATGTCCAGGGATGGACCTGTGAGCAACCCAGGTCAGCTAGACCTCTCCCAGAATGTGCTGGCACAGGAAGCGGAAGCCATTGGGCCAGCGCCCCAGGAGAGACCGCCAAGGGTTCCTGCTACCGCGTCCAGCCCCCAAGATTCCCAGACTTCCTTGGGCTCCTCTCCTGCCCCGCCCCTTGAAGTCGGCCAGCACCTACCAAAATCTGCTTTTCCCTTAACTTAGCCAGGATTGGTTTCTACTGCCTGTCACCAAAGAGCCCTGGCTGCATGCCCCGGTAGGGCAGGAACTCAGTGGTGTCCTTTATATTTTTCAGTGTGGAGGTCACATGGTTGGGCCATGCGTTGGCCTGAGTACCTGCAATTCTTGCCAAAAGGGCCACTTGAGCGAGGAGCACTGATTTATCTGAATGGAAGTCTGTCAACAGCCCCTCGGAGAAAACTATGCCTCCTGGCCCACTGCCTTGGGCCACATGCTTCCCTCCCCCTCCCCAAAGAAGTCTCAGCTGCCATCTCTGAGCAACTCTCTTGCCCTTTGTAATTCTGATGTCCTTCTAGCCTTTGTCTTCCCACCAACTCCCCCAGTGCCCTGAGGAAGGTGCCGTGTTCATCAGAGATTTTAATTATTTGTGGACTGATGTGACTGCTTTAACTACTCCAGAGAGCCTCTCCCCGAGACTCCCACCTCATGTCCGCATGGATGCAACAGTCCCATTGAATATATGTAGGACAGGGCAAACCACAAGTGTGACAATAGGGCCCCAAGGCTGTGGGACACCTAGGTGAGCACCTGAGTGGTGACTGGAAATACCCTAGACCGACACCGTGGAAGCCGAACTCTCCAGGAAGGCGGACCCAGTCATGGACGAGACCGGGTCCCTGCCCAAGAACAATGCCCTTGAGCCAGGCTCTCATACCCCCAGCCCACACAGGCCCATGAGAGCATGTCCCTGGGTGCCATGTGTTACCGTTTCTGCAGGACAGTGACAAACTCGGTAAGCCGGTCACGCTCCACTTCAGCGGCCTGCCAGAGGGCCTTGAACTCTGCCACCTGTGCCTGCCAGCCTTTCTGTTCGGGGGAGTCTGAGAACCTGCGGACCAGGGTGGGGCAGAGGTCAGGGGTCAGAGGTCATTTGAGGGGTTATCAGGAGACATACACTTACTTGTGATGGTGGGAAGGATTAGGAGAACATTCAGGGTGCCTCAGAGGCAGCCTCAGAGCAGGAAGCCAACCCAGTCCTTCCTAGCCCTGCTGGTCCTCCTCCTCTGTCTTCTTCTCAGCCCACCATTCCTGTGCCTGCTGAAGTCTCCAGACCTCACTCAGCTGGCTGCACAGCCAGACCCCACCCAGGCTAGAGCTGCGTCAGTACCTCTGTCCATCCAGTCCCTGTAGGGGCCTGGAATTGGGCTGGCTGCTCTGGAATTTGGCCCTTGAGGGCCTAGGGTGCCCCGGGTACCTGTGGGGCCAAGGGCCTGGCCACCTTGCCCATTTTTAGGTGGGCCCAGCCTCTGTCGCCCTGTCAGCCTACCCCAGCCTCCTTCATCTCCTGGCTTGGCCCCACGCCCAGCCCACCTTCCTGGACACTTGGCTTTGTGACTTGGTCAGTCTTCTTCAGTGCTGATCGAGCCGGTCCCCGCTTTCCTCCTTATCACTGGGTCTGCCTACTAGCCCCTTAGCTGCTGGCTGGAGCCCAGACAGAAGGGGAACTCTGCCCCCCAACAAAACCCCCCAGAGCCCATGTGTGAGTCCCAAGCTGCTCTCTGCTTTGCCCCCACCTTTCCCCCTGAGACCCTGGGGGCCCTGGGTTTGCTTTCGTAGCATCACAGGACACACGGAGAGCTGGGCTGGGGCGTGTGAGACCAGAGGCTAACTTGGTCTGGGGTCTGGGCCTGGGTCCTCCCTCTGAACATGGAGGGGGTTGGCTGAGATGGGTGTGAGGACTGCAGACCCCTCTCTGTTCTGACACCTAAATACACTTTAAGGCCTTACTGCTCAAAGTATAGTCTCTGAGTCAGTGGCTGCGGATCCAGACCTGCTGAATCAGAGCCTGCGTGCTCTGGCAAAGCTCTGGTCAACTCACCTCCACGATTTGCTCATTGGGTGGGGGGAGGGAGAAGAGGGGGAGCCGCAGAAGAAAGGGGCTCTCCCCTCCCAGACACCCCGCCAGCCCCACAGAGCCCCTCTCTGGGGTGGCTCCCGCCGGTGCTATCACTGAGGGAAGAGGGCGGTATGCTCTGTGGGGGCAGGGCCCAGGGGTGGTTGGCTTCAGTAAGTACTTGTGTAGTGTGCGGGACAGAAGCTTGGGAACCAGCAGTCTGGACAGCTGAGGAGCACATCTGGTCCTGCTTCCCTGTGGAGTGCACAGGTCACAGACCCACGGGCCTGGAAGGGATCTTGAGGACCATCGTGGCCCTCTTCCTGCTCCCACTACTGTGACTCACACCTCAGAGAGACAGAGCCTGTCCATTCTCCCTGGGGCGCCAGGAGGCCTCCCACTTTTGGAAGCGTGGCGTGCTCCCTTGTGGCTCGAAGCAGCCCACTCTCCCCCAAATGCCCTTGTGACCCCAGGCTGATGGGTGAGGCAGCTGCAGGGCTGGCCTTGGCCCACAGTCCCTGTGCTGCCAAATGTCAGGCCAGAAGTGTCTTAGGCCCTCGTCAGGAAGCAGCATCCCAGAGAGGATCAATGCCTGGAGCCATACAGCAAGTCAAACACGGACTCGGCCGCTCAGAGGCCTGGCCTGGAACCTGAGCTGACCTGCCTGAGGGGTGGGGATGGGGGCTGACAGCAGGAGCATGGCTCCAGTGGACAGTGGGCAGGGCTCAGGACAGGGCTCAGAGACAGGACAAAGCCACCATTTGTCTGTGAGCTGGCAGGAAGAACAAAAGGCCCATTTAAGCCCTAGGCTTGATTCTAACAACAAAGAGGGGGCCAGAGCGCTGAGGGGATATCAGTGACTTAAAGTGGGAACCCATACGACATGAAATTCTCCCCCTAGAGACTGGTTCTCAGTGGGGAAGAGAAGACAAGGAAAGGAGCTGGGCTCCAGGCCCTGGAAGGTTCCTTGTGTTAACTCTGTGGTAGCAGGAAGGGACATTAGACTGCAAGCCAGAGGCCAAGACTCTGGTTCAGTAGCCATTTCCTCTATTAACTTGGATAAGGCACTGGGCCTCCCTGATCCTCTATGTCCTTTATGCAAACTTGGAAGAGTCCCTGGATTTGGCCTGGTCTCAGTTTCCTCTCCTTTTAATGGGATGGCAGTACTGGCTGAGCATTCAGGGTGGGAAGGGCTGTGAGGGCCCTGAGGTCCTGGGTTCATACCTGGGTGAGGCCCCATGAGGACTAGGCAGAGAAGGCCACGTGAGAGCAGATTCCACCAGCGTGTGGCCCAGGCTGGTCACGGAGCTGTGTGAAGGCAGAAGGGGCACATCACCACAGGAAGGCAGGCTGGGCCAGGCCTGGGAGGAGAGCAGGGGCCAGCAGGGATCTGGGGAGCCCGAGGAGGTGGCCAGTGCTGGTCCTCGTAGCAAACCTGGCCAGGCAGTCCTGCAGATTTTCTGCCCTTCTTTCTAGAACTCTCGCTGGCTCAAAACGAGACAGAACCAGGAGACATAAGAGCCTCAAGCAATCCAAGACAGGGCTGTTTGAGAATCCTAGAAACAGGTGCGTTTCAAGGCCAGCTCAGAGAGGATATTACAGGGAGCTCCAACCAGATGTTTTGCAGAAATAATATCTGGGCCTAACTGGCTCCTCCATGCAGATGCAGGGCTAATGGAATATGAGAAGCCCACATTTGGGAAGGACAACGCCACAGTCATCTTAAAATTGCACCCGTGGCTTCTGAGCAGAGGCAGCCTTTCTTCTGAATAATTAATATTCACTTTCCAACCACTCTATCCCCTTTTTTTTCTTACCGAGAAGATCCAAGCCTGCCAACGTGATCGCCTGCTGAGGCTGGGGGCTTGGGCTGGCCAGGGTCCTCCAGGAACTTGGTGTAGGCGGGGTTGACCTCAGTCCCACCAGACCCCTTGCCCACTTCTTTATTCTGAAGATACTGCAGGGAACAGACGTGGGTTCGATTCTCAGCACTTTGGCTCAGAGGCCTGGAGAAGGCAGGAGGGGGCCTTGGCTGGAGTTCGGGGCTTTTAGGGGACATGAAAGAGGCTTCTTTTCAGGAGTGAAAAGCGAGGCCTGCTTGGTGAAGGCACTCCTTGCATGATAATGACATCTAATAATGCCTCTCTTCAGAAAGGGAGCTACATGGCACGAGGTGGTGACTGGGCCACGAAGCTGTTCTACATTCAGGTCCCGAAGGGAAGTGCATGGCCTTTGATTCGGGCCAGATCAGAGACTGATGTCTTTGAGTGGACCCACCTCTCGGGGCAGCCACCCCCACGCAGGGTGAATGCCAGGTGTGACTTGAGGCCAGCTGCCTTTGTCAGCTGGAGACACATGGACTTAGTAGACACCCGGAGCCATAGAGGTTGCCAGGGCCTCAGCAAGGGCCAGCGGTCTAGCAGGGAGGCTGGGCTTACCAGGCCCCCTTCCCTCCTCACACCTCCTTCTTCCAGATAGCTGGAGAGGCCGGATTGAAGAAGGAGCCCCGGAGGACCCCCACCAGGGGGTCAGACCACCAGGGGTGGACAGTTGGTGTGAGCCCCAGACAAGCTGGCATGTCCCCCAGCCTGAGATGCATGCCTCAACTGTCTGCTGGGTAATGCTTGGCCCCCAGTCGGCTGATGATCTCTGAGGTAAGAAGCGCTTCCCTTTTGTGTGCCTGGAGCCAGGACAGTGGTGAGGTGAAAATACTGGAATGTTCCCATGTGCTCCTTCAGATTTCACTTCCCAGTGGCAAGCAGGGCAAGGACTGCAAGGCAATGTCCCCACTCACAGCCACACACACCCTGTCCCCAGGCCTTTGTCATAACCCTGCGCTCCCCCTCAGCCTCGGGGACTTCAGCATTTTCCACCACAGCCACTGGGGTCCCAGGGGATGGACGGCTCGGAGACACACCACCAACCCCAGCCAACACCAGCCTGAGGCTGCAGCTGAGGGGCTCCTGGGCTCCCATGCTTCTGACGGGACCACGGATCCCTGGGAATAAAGGGCAGGGCTGCTCTGTGACATGCCTTAGGCGATACCAGTCACCCTGGCTATGAGGCTTCTCTGTCAACCGGGACAGAGTCCCAGTCCCAGGTCCCCTCCCCTCTGAGCACCTGCACCACAGGAAGGAGCCACAGAGAGCTCACAGGGCCTGACTCCCGGCAGCCCGGGCTGTGCTGGTTAAGGCATCTGTCAAGGTCCAGCTCTTCAGGGGCTCCCTCATTAGGTGAGCATTTATGAGCATCTACACTGGCCTCTCAGTCCTGTGCCAGGGCGTGAGGCACCAAGGTACACGCCGCCTCAAGAGGAGAGGAGGACTTGGGGGGGGCAGGAAAACGATCACCCAGGGTGACAAAAGTTTGTCTTGGGGATGCACAGGGAGTTAGGAGAGTGCCCAGGAGGGGCAAGGAACACAGCTGGGGCCCCTGGCCAGGCAGGGGCGGTGGGGGAGGAAAGGGAAGGCACGTGCTTCAGGCATGTGCCCAGCTGCAGTGGGGAGAAAGCAGGGCTGTGAGGAGCTTAATGGTGGCCATGTGGCCAGAGTGTGGGGGAAAGGGAGGGGTGAAGAGGAGATACAGGCGGGGTGGCAGCAAGAGCTCGTCACGTGGGGCCCTGCAAGCTGGCTGGAGAGCAGCTTCCTTTGGGCCATCCCACTGCCTGGAATGTGAACGTGGAGCCTGGCACTGTAGCCGCCATCTTGGATCGTTAGGATGAGGGCCACGGCTGGGGACAGTGAGGCAGAGCTGGAAGGAGCCTGGACCCTTGAGGATTGAATGAGGCCAAGGGTGACCGGGAGCCACAGACAGGTTTTGTGCAGAGACGGGAGATAATCAGGAAAGAGAGGAAAGGTATGTGAGAATTCGTGGGAAGCCAGATGGAAGCAGGGGAGCAGAATGGAGCCAGGAAGGACGTGGTGTGGCCTGAGTGAAGGTAGGTGGAAAACAATGGAAGTTGCTCAGCTTTGTCTGGACGGTAGATGGACTTGCCAGGGCTTGGAAATGGATGTCAGGCCAGGCCAGCGCCCTACTCACCTGCACACTGAGTTGGCCAATCTCCAACTCCAGCTGCTGTACCTTGGCCTCCCGCTCAGCCACCATGGCCCGCAGCTGGGTGATGAGGCTGATGCTCTGCTGAGCCTCACTGTTGACCTGCTGGTCCAGATGGTGCTGCGACGCCCGGGTCTTCTCCTCCTGCAGACTCAGGCTGCCCAGAATCTCCTGGAGCTGCTTCAGCTGGTCCTGTGGGGCCAAGCAGGAGGGCAGACGACAGACAAGTTTAGCCATGAACCCTGGGCAAGGCAGGACAGGGAAGACCGCCTCCCTCATGCACTCCTTGGTGCTGCAGGAAACTAACAGTGGGACCCTACCTGTTTCTTCGAGAAGCAGGAGGATAACTTTCCTTGCCTGCCCTTGCGGGGCTCACCAGACAGGTGGGGACCCTGCCATTTTCCTGTCCTCAACTTCCTTCTCTGAGATTGGGCCAAGAAGGACATTGAGGGGGCTCTTGGGACGACAGCAGCTCAGGTGGTGGGCCCTCTGCCAGTGGAGTGGGGGAGAGATTCGGGGAAAAAGAAACCCTATCCCTCTGCTGGGAGATAGCCTTGAATGCAGCCCCTGGACCCCCTGCCAGGGATTCCCTCAGCACCTGACTGAGGCCCCCTCCCCTGCAGATGCCCCCAGGAGACTAGTGGGCTGGAGGCTTCACCCAAGGGCCAACAGGAAGGACAGGTCAGTGATTGGGAATGCAGAGGGAACTGAGGCCCAGAGAGCCCAAGGGCACAGTGCTGGTGGATGGCCGGGCTGGGGCTTGTCTGCAGCTTTCATCATGCCATCTGCGACCACTGAGGACATGCAGCTCCACACCTTATTTAAAAACTAGGAGCTGGAATGCCTGGGTGGCTCAGTTGGTTAAACGTCTGCCTTTGGCTCAGATCATGATCCCAGGGTCCTGGGATCGAGCCCCGCATCGGGCTCCCTGCTCAGCGGGAAGCCTGCTTCTCCCACGCCCACTCCCCCTGCTTGTGTTCCTGCTCTCATTATCTCTCTCTCTCTGTCAAATAAATAAATAAAATCTTTTAAAAATAGTTAAAAAAAATAAAAACTGGGAGCTGAGGCTCAGCGAGGGGGTGCCAAAGGCCTAGGGTCACCCAGGGAGGTGTGAGCAGAGGCGGGTCTTCTGTGTTCTGCTTACCACCCCGTGCCCCCCAGCCAAGCCAGGCAGGGCCACCCCAGGGGCCTGGGGCACAATTTGGGATTCAAAACCCTGGGGCACTGCAGGTCCTAGAGCGAAAAGGCCAGGCTAGGTTCAGGAAAGCATTGTGGCCTTGATAATCAAGGCAGGCCTTACGGTCAGAGCAACCTGGTTTGAACTCAGTTGTACGGTCTTGGACGACTTAGCTAACTAACTGGACTCTTAGTTTCCCCATGTGTGAAATGGGATTAGAACAGATGACCCTAGGGGTTGTCTTGGCGACTAACCATTATGAACCACATGCACCCCAAGTGTCCGGGAGGGGCTGTGTACTGTCACATGGACAAGAATTTGTACTGGCCCCTCAGTTTTTCCATCAAGGAAAAATGACCCAGGGTGTACTCCCATCTCCTTCCCCTGCACCCACTTCCTCCTCCTCTGGGGTCCAAAGGCCCAGCGGCTGGTGCCAGGCTCTAACACGTCACAGCCAGCAGCAAAACCCCACAACACGACGTGTATGCGTGCTCGGGCAGCCTCCGAGCTGCTCCTGTCCCTGGGATGTGGCTTTGCAGCTGACGCCCGGGTGAGGCCATGAGCTTCTGGATGATGCTGGTGGCCTCTGGGGTAAGTGAGGGCTCACTCTGGCTGGGGCTGGGTCATGGGCTTCCGGGCAGGGTGGGGGGCCCGTGTTGGAGGAACCGGGCCCTGGCTCTCGCCAGGCCTGAGCGGCTGGGCCCTACCATGAGGGCGTCGATGAGCTCATCGTCATGTCGGCCTTTCTCCACCAGGGTCCCCATCTGACTCCTGAGGGTCTTCACTTCGCTTGACAGCACCTTATTCCGGGACTTCACGCCCTCCAACTTCTTTTTCAGTTCTTCAAGCTCTTTCTGGAGGGCATCCCGCTCACCCATGAGTTTCTGTAATCAGGAAATATAGTCTTGGGCAGTGGAGCTGAATGGGTCCCGGGCTCCCACTCACAGGTGAGGCCCGGTGACAGGAGGGGACTTCTGAAGGCCGGAGAGCAAGGCAGCTCCCAGCCCCCGCCTCTCAGGGGTGTCAGGTGGGGCCCTGCCCTTGCACGTGACAGACGTCACTAAGAGATGATAGCACTCCTCCATCAGCCCGAGAACACAGGCATCCAGGCAGCTGCCCTTGCTCTGCCAGGGTCAGAGACGAGAGGAGCCACACTTGCCAACTGTGAGTGTGTCCTCCAGAGAGCATGGCTATCCCCACCTCTCAATCCCGGCCTGAGCTGGGGAAAGAGCAAAGCCATGCTCTCATGAGCAGCACTAGGTCTAGGGTTCAAACAGAAGTGGCTCACCCCACCAGGAGCCAGAATGAGAGGGAGGTGCCATCCCGCTGCGTTGCCTGACTTCCTCCATGCACATCCAGCACATCAGCCCAGACTGCGCCACACTCGGGTCAGCTACTAACCGGCAACTCAAGTGCTGGGCATGCCTTCAGAGACTCCCTCCCTCCCTTCCTTCCTTCCTTCCTTCCTTCCTTCCTTCCTTCCTTCCTTCCTTCCTCCCTCCCTCCCTCCCTCCCTCCCTCCCTCCCTCCCTCCCTCCCTCCCTCCCTTCCTTCTCAAATATTTCCTGAGGGCCTACTGTGTGCTTAGAACTGTTATAGGTGCTGGGGATAGAGCAGAGAACAAAACAGAATGTTTGTCCCCAAGGAGCTAACATCCTAGCTGGGGAGATAGATGTTCAATGGTTTACCTGTTACCACTGTTTACCTGTTGCTCTGCATATTGAAAACTGGGCAAGGGAATGGGGTGGGAGGGACAATGGCATGGTCAGGGAAGGCCTCTCTGAAAGGTGACATCTGAGAAGAGACTAAAGGAGGTGAGGGGATGAGCAAAGGTCCTGGGGTAGAACATGTGTGGCTAGAGCACAGTGAGAGAGGGGACAGGTCAGGGGCAAGGTTGGAGGGGGCAGAGTCCAGATTAGGTAAACCATCAGGAGCCAAGATTGAGACCCCGAGGAGGGTTTTGGGCAACGGGTGACATAATCTGCTTTGGTCTTGAGGGTTAGTTATCATTGGAAAAGTGTTTTTAGATCCCTGTGAAAGTGAATTATAGAATGAAAAATAGTAGATATGAATCCAGAAGACCACTGATCTTTGCCGTAGGCAGCCATTGTTTGCCTGTAGCTCTGCTGGCTACATACTCTAAGCTCTGCAGGCGTCCAGCAGAGGAAGGACACACAGAGGACAGCCTCCTTCCACCGCAATGTGGCTTACAATCGGTTCAATGACTGCAACATGTTCTGTTCGGTGTGAATGTGTAAGTCTGAGCCAGGGGCACCGCAAACTCAACAGTTTCAAATCTCAGCTTCCCATCTCCCTTGAGTCCCCTCCCCGTGTCCCCTCCCCACTGCTACACTCACTGGAAGTCCTTCACAGTCCTTCCACTTATCTCCCTTCCATCCCGTCACTGAGCCCTGTAAAGTCGACCCTCAAACGTTGCAGGTGTCTGGCCTTTGGCTATAGTCCTACTGCCTTGGCTCTGGTCCCCGGATATGTCTCAAGTGGATTATCACCTCTGCCTCCCACGCCTCCTCTGACCTAGCCCCCCCGACCCCACCTGGCCATGTGACCTTTCCAACATGCACAGGGGTCCACGTCCCTCTATGACTCAAAACCCTTTGGTGGTTCTCCACTTCCTTCTAGATAAAAGCCCAAAGCCCTGGCTGGCATACAAGGTCCAGGAGGACCTGGCCTGGCCCACCGCTCCAGTCCCTCTGTTTCCTCCTCACACCTGATGATCTAGGATGCTGGGGGTGCAATGCAGCGATGGTCACAATGTTCCTAGCACAGGGTCTAGTCCTGAATTGGCACTCGTAAATGGAAGTCTCCTGATGAAAAGGTAAGGCCTCATTGTTAGGAAGCCCACTGCCAGGGCCACTGAAGTGGGCCTTCTCAGCCTGCCAGCACCCCGTCCTGCTTCTTCCTCTATTTTCCTTGAGAAAGCCACGCTCCCCACTCTCACGCCAACTTCTGAGAGGCTGACTCATCTCCCAGACCTGGGGAGAAGCCTGGCTGGTCAGAGCAGCCTGGACCCTCAGCTGCAGTGACTGGCTCAGGGACAGGCTCATGGCCTAAGCTAGCTGGGTGACACTTCATTCTGGGACTTTGTTGGAACTACTGGGAAAGAGAAGCCCTTTGTTTGTGGGGGCTGGGCTGGACGATAGAAGCTGGGACTTGCAGGAATTCCCATGGGAGAGGGTGAAGCCGGTCCGGAAAAAGTGGCACCGAGACCAAGTCCCCAGATCCCTGGGTCCATCTGTGCCTGACACTAGGCGACCTCTAGACCATTCATCTACATGGGCCAATCAATTCTGTTTGTCACATAAGCCTGGTAGAGTTTGGCTTCCACCACCCTGGGTGCAGATCTGTGAGATGCAGCCAGTGAGACACAGCGCCCACCTTTCAGCAGCCTGGAGCTCTCCTCCACTGAGCCCCACCTAACCCTGTCCCTGGGCCATCCCTCTGGGCCTTGGCTGCCTCCTCTCCTTCTACAGTGACAATTTCAGGTCCAGCATCTCCAGAACAGCCAGGATGGGGCCACCCGAAGCTCATGAAATGGGCTGACGACCAGTCAGGCAGTTCCAGCTGGACTGACAGGACGTGAGGAAGAGGCACTGAGGTAACCCCAAGCCCCAGGGGTCTCCTGCCTCTAAGGGGTGGCTCAGAGCTCGTCCTCACGGCCCTGCAGAGGTGGTCACGATCTCCCGGTCCCCCGTGCTCAACTGACCCCTTCCCTGGACATGCATTACCTCGCAGCCCTCCTGTTTTTCCCTTTCCAGGCTGCGGATCCTCAGCAGGTTTTTCTCCTGTGCCGACAGCTTCCTTGGGTCCGGACCGACAGGTAGCTTGTCATGGGATATTCCTGCAGACTGGCTTTGGGTCTGTCCCAGCTGCTTCTCAAGCTCGCGAACCTGAGGGTGGTAAAACTCGTCATTCCGTAGTGGGCCTGCCCTCACAGACTCAACCACTCAGGGGCTGCCCTGAGGTGTGACAGGAAGCCCCATTAGACTGAGGCCACTGCTGTTCTAGATGGAGGCAGGAGCCCCATGTGAGGGGCACGGAGGTGGGGGAGGAGTCTGAGGTGGCATCTTGGGCAAAACAGGGGAGGACAGGCGGGAGGTTTAGCTTGAGAATGAGAAAAATCACCCCCTCACTTAGGGGCTATGTGAGACCAAGAAGCAGAGGTGTGACTCAGGAACCTGGGAGGGAAAGGATGGAGGAGCTCAGTACAAGGATGAACTCTCTAACCCAAGACTGGGTGCGCTTCTTGGGAGACCATGGGTTCCTGGCCACTTGCAGGAGATGCTGCAGAGGGAGGGTGGGGTTTAAAAGCTCAGAGAGCAGCTCAAAGCCTCACCAGCTGTGTGCCTATGCACAGCTTACTTATCCTCTCTGAATCTCAGGTTCCTCATCTGTGAAACGGGCCTAAGGGTACCCCCCGCATAATGGTATAAGGATTCAGTATCCTGAACTTGTCTGAGTCTGGGAACCCCCAAGATGCTTCTTGGAATGACAAATCTTGGGGCCCACTCCAGACCAACAAGTCAGAGCTTCAGGGAAAGGACTGGGAATCTGCATTTTAAACAAGTCCTATGGGTGCTTTTTAGGATTAGGCAACTTTGAGAAACCCCAAGATGGCCCAGGTGAAGCCCTTGTCACACCGTCCAGCACTCATAGGCTCTCGGCAAGTGGCAGTTAGATGTCAGCCCACAGAACGATGGCTTTATTGCACTGAGTTTGAAGTGAGTAACTCCTAGGGTCCTTCTAACCCTGGTTTCCATGTTGATACAACATAAATGATGGAACACAGTTGCCGGGGCCAAATTCACTAGGATTCCCAGTAAAGGGTAGCCGCATGGTTTTGAAAGCACATATCAGCGCCCTCGTGTGGCACTGCGTGGTAATTCCATTTAAGCATTAGAGAACACAGTATGAAACTTTCAATCGTTTATTTACGCAGCTTAACGACAATAACAACTAATGTGTCGAGTGCTTATTACGGGCCGGGCACTGTGCTGGGTCCTTTACAGATGTTATTTCACTTAACCCACAACACTCCGTTTTGCAGGTGAGGAGACAGGTGCAGAGGGACGACGTGACTTGCCTAAGGTCACCGAAACTACAGACCAGCGACTAAGGCCAGTCTCAAACTGGGGTCTCTTAAACCCCAAGGCCACACATCGGTCATTAATCACAGTGTTTTGGACACCGTCCCCTCCTTCGTGTTGGCTTCAAGGACGCCACAGGAGGCCTCGAGGATAAAAGCTACCCAGGAACTGTGAACTTGAAGTCCTTGGGGATGAAGGCCATGTGCTTGGCCAGGTGGGGAAGTTACACACCTACTCTTGTGCTTCTTAGTTTGAAAGCGAAAGAGGAAAATAACCAGAGCAACCTTTGTACAGTGTTCGCTCCACGCCAGGCACTGTGTTGGCCATTTGACGCGTATTGACTCATCAGTCCTCCCATCAGCCCTGTGGGGTAGCTCCTATCGTTATCCGTTATCCGTGGTATAGGGAGAAGAAAACCGAGGCCCAGAGGGGTGAAGGAATTTGCCCAAGGTCGTACGGCTGCTGAGTCGAGAGCTGAGATTTGAATCCAAGCAGCCTGGCTCCAGAGCCCCAGCTTTTAGCCTCTAGAGATGCTCCAAAAGATTTAGAGCATAAAGAGGGGGACAAGGCTACATCTTTACTGGGTAACTCAAACTTTCAAAAGTCTACAAGCATCTGGACAAAACTGGAAAAAGCCGGCAAGTACAACAGTCACGCGAATTTACATGAACTAGGGGAAAAAATATGCCTAGAGTACAGTAAATCAAAGGTTTTGGCATTTGTTAAGCCCCAGTGCCTGGCACGTGGTATGTGTTATATAAATGCTTGTTCATCAAATAACAAATTAAAATCAGGCCGGTGGGGGAGAATATCAAACAACAGCCCTGCAAGTACGCTCTGCCAGGCCTGAGGGCCTTTTTAGGGTTCTGTGTCTCTCATGTGGGGTGGTGCCACCTCACCGGGGCATTTTAAGCCCTGTGTTCAGGGCCAGAAGAAGTTCACTCACCTTGCTTTGCAACACAAGAATTTGTTGAGCCCGGCCCCTCCAGGTCCCCGGGGAGGACAGGAGCTGCTGGACATTCACATCTTCCCCGACCTCGCTGGTCAAAACCTGAAAAAGGGAGGGCCTTCAGCGAGGCCAGGAGAGAGGGCCCCCACCAGAACCCTAAAACCAGTGCATCCTTAGAGGCGGTGCTGGGTGTGTGGGGCTCCCAGAGGGCCTGGCCCCTGCCTGTACCCCTTCCTCCTGCCCCAAGGCCAGCTGACCGTGCTCTCAGAGCAGCGGCCCCTGGGAAAGTAGTGATCCCCTCATCCCCCGCATTTCTTAGTGTTGCTTCCAGCAGGTGAGGAACTGCCAACAGTGTTCAGATGGGGCCTTCCGCCCTTGACATATTCTGGGATGCGTGAACCACAAAGTTGACCAAAATCTGCTTCCTCAGTTTGTTCACCTGCCACTGAGAACTGAGATCCTTCTGGATGGCTATAGGAAGTACACTGCCCCAGGGCCTTGCCCTCTGTGAAAAGCCACTGACTAGGGGCCATGTCTGAGTGCAGCAAGGATGGGGGGGACCACCAAACATCAATTGGGGAGGTTTGATTCCAGAAGGGTCCAACATTGTGGCTGTTGAAGGGTGGGGTGCAGGCCCTACCTCAAGGCTTTGAGGTGGAAACAAAACACACCAGCTGGTGCCCTGGGCCCCTCTGAAGCCTGCCACGGGAACCAATCTAGCGTCCCGAGTCTCTGGTGCTTGTTTCCACAATAGAACACTGTTTTGGAAATCTTGGCTAGTCTGAGTGGTTCCAGCCGGGAAGACAAATGCCAGAGAATTCACTATGTAAATAAAAATAAATAATGAACCAGCTGGGCCTGCATCCCAAGTCTGAGTATTTTCCTTTGAAAAGGGCCTTTAATACACAAACAACCTATTCATTTTCTAATATTACAGACAGCAAAGGGCAGGAGGCAAGTCTTGGCAGGCTTCCAAGTCCAAGGTGGCTTATTAAGGAGAGATCTACTAGGATCTACTAGGGTGCATGGAGCACAAGCAGTCTACAGGACTCTCCCTGAGTAGAGGGCACTGCCCTCCTCTGTCCGGGGGGGTGGGGGGGGGGAAGGCACCACAAGGGCCCCTCAGGCAGCCAGCAACCCCATTCACCAATGGTCTGTAGGAAGGGCTGACAGAAGGAAGTTACCGGATCCGGAGCCTGCCCCAGAGCATGATGCTCACGGGGCCAAGCACTTGCTGCTCCTGAATGGAACCCATTGTCCTGGCCATGCTCTTCCCAATCCCAGCCAGATAAGAACCCCTGACCCCTGGCTCTGGAATACCTTCTGGGCCATCCGGAGCTCCTGCTTCACAGACTGGATCTGGTTGCGGAGGTCACTCATCTTCAGGTTTGTGGCCGTCAGCCTGTCCTGCAAGACCTTCACCTCTGGGGTCTCTGGCTAGTTGGGCAGGAGAGAGGAGAGAGCGGTCACTTGTTGCCGAAATCATAACGATAATCGTGACTCCGTTCAGCCAGGGCTGTGCCAGGCACCACGCTATGTGCTCCACGTGCAGCAACTCACTGATTCGTCACGAACTTCTGGCGGGGGGGGGGCGGGGGTTCTCTTGTCAGCCCCTTCCAGATGCAAAGCAGAGGCTGGTGGAGGGGGACTCCCCTTGGCTTGAGGCGGGGGGACCTGGCTGGGAAAGGTGGAGCAGGGACATGAATCCTGGCAACCCACCTCGGGGGCCTAAGCCCTTTGCTCAGAGCACTGCACAGCCAGGGATGCAGGCGGTGGCCACAGAGGGGGAGCCCCAGGAGGAGGCCTGCAGGCTCCACACCATCCAGACACTTCCTAGGCATGGGCACTCTCTGCTGAGCTCTGGAGGCTGCCACCGCAGCTAAACCATCTCCACTCAGAATAAAGAGGGGCTAGGGACACCTGGGTGGCTCAGTCGGTTGAGCGTCTGCCTTCGGCTCAGGTCATGATCCCAGGGTCCTGGGATCGAGCTCTGCATTGGGCTCCCTGCTCAGTGGGAAGCCTGCTTCTCCCTCTCCCACACCCCCTGCTTGTGTTCCCTCTCTCGCTGTGTCTCTGTCAAATAAATAAATAAAATCTTAAAAAAAAAAAAAGAATAAAGAGGGGGTTAGTTCCATCACAGAAGGCAACCCCCAACGACCCTCCTAACTCAGGGCCTCCTTCTGAAACCATCAGCTTATTCCTTGAGCTCCCTTTCTTGGCAATGAGCTCACTCAACAGAAACAAGGACCCAGTTTCACCGCCAAATGCTCCATTTCCGTGGCTTGAAGAACTGCCTCAACCACAAAAACTCTGCCTGCTGGAACTCTTAGCAGTGTCTTTTTTTGTTGTTGTTTAATAATGTTTGACTTAAACTACTTGGATGTAAATTTTTCTCAAATGTGCCATCTATTTCTCAGTCTTCAGGAGAAGTTTCTGAGGCTCACAGAAGGTTGGCATTAAAGGGATGCCTTCTGTCAGAATCTGCCCCAGACAGCATCCCTCATACGCACCTCCTCTCAACACTCACAGGCCCCTGGGCACTGGTGTTAATATACCCCTATTTTTACAGATGAGGAAGCCAGGTTTGGAAAGGGGAGTCATTGCCTGCATTAAGGCAATGTAAGTGATGAAAATAAGGCCCAGGGAGGGGGGGTAAGTTGCCATAGGGCACACAGCATGTTGGGGGTGACACAAGTCAGATTAGAAGAAGCCCGGTCCTTCCCCTGCCCTAGCTGATTCTCCCACTGGAAGCTGTTTCCGGCACCCAGGCATCACGGGTGGGCTGAGCATCCCATCAGGCCATGATGCCAAGACCGTCTGCTCCTGCCCGACAGACCAGGTGGGCTGCACTTCTGGGAAGCCGGGCAGGTGCTGCAGTGGCTTTCTGAGCTGTCTTCAGGAGGCACACACAGAATCTCCTGGGGACACTGGCACGGAAGGCAGGTCCACAGAGACTGGGTCTGGGAAGTTCCCCGGTCCCCAGAGGTTGTGGACAGCCCAGGTGAAAACCACTGGGGAAGGAAACGGGAACCGGACACACAGTCCAAGAAGTCTGACCCCATCTGGTTTCCTCATTTATGGAATGGGTAAAGAATCCTTCTCTGTCCTGCTTCTTCACAGCACCACCATGAGGCTAAACAGCATACCCAATGTGAACAGAGTATAAACTGGGAACTTATATAAAACACAAATGTATCTTTAAAAAAAAGTGTGTGTGTGCATGTGTGTGTGTGTGTCCTTCCCCCTGTCTGGCGTCTTGCCATTCCTTCTCCCTGCTGTTGGATGCCTGTCCTCCCTCAGCTAAGGGGCTAACTCTGCACGTGTCCAGGCTAAGAAGCAACATCCCCTGCCTGTTGGGTCTTGGGTGCATGAGGCCCGCAGGCCCTGACAGGTGGTGGTGCAGGGGCTGTGTTTATGAGCGTCCCACGTGACGGCCGTGACCCTGCTCAAAGCCTGGGAAGAGCACGCATCCGGGACCGGATCTATAACGCAGGCAATGACTCCCCTCTCCACGCCTGGCTTCCTCATCTGTAAAAATAGGGGTATATTAACACCAGTGCCCAGGGGGCCTGTGAGTGTTGAGAGGAGGTGCGTATGAAGGATGCTGTTTGGGGCAGATTCTGACAGGGCAATGCCCGAGGGGGGCGCCTAGCCTGGCCTGGGGTAGCTGGCAAAGGGGGCTGAGGGCTAGCCAGTGCCGTCCACTTCTCGGTCTTCTGCTCTGCCAAGCCCCCAGTCCTCTCCTCCTGGACATGGGGCCAACCCCACGTCGCTGCCATCTCAGAGCTGCTTCTGCCCAGAGCGAAATTCCACAGGCTTTGTGGGGGACTTGAGGAGGGGCCTAACCCTCCCCTTCCCTGGGCCATTTTCTTTGAGGGACTAAATGAAACGCAGTCCAAGGGGAACAGACGATGCCAATGCTCTCGCAGCACAGCCTCTGGGAGCCCCACCGACCGTGCCGAGTGGAGACAGGGCATTCAGCTCCACTCCGGAATGCGCTTTGGCGCCTGGGGCCAGAGCATGCCGTGAGCGCAGGCCTCTGAAGTGTGGTTCAGGCTTGGGCTACCCTGAATGGTGTAGTGAGGGGGAAGGCTGCTTTTGTTCTCTCTCCGATCCCAAGTGCCCTGGAAAACGCACGGTACTGCTGAACAGAGGCTTACTGCCCATTACCCGCTCTTCTGGCAGAAGCCTACCAGCAAAGCTGAGTGCCCCAGCTCCAGCCGCCAGTCAAGGCCGCCCTCCGTGAGTCACCCCACCCTAGCCTTGTTTGGCTTATATTCCCCGTCCCCCCTCTCCCCCCTGCAGGCCCTGGGCTGCGGGCAAACACTGTCCAGCCCACACGCAGCTAGCAAACAGAATAGGAATACTTAGTGCTGCCCGGCCTCTCAGCCTCGGCTTGTACTTTCTGCTGGAGGGCCCTCCCCCATCCCCCTTTCTCCAGCAAGGCCCACCTCAGGACCCCCTCCTCCAGCCCACCTCCTAGCTGCCTCACAGGGAGGGTGTGCTCTCTCTGTGAACTCTGAGGCCCTGGGGCTCTTTCTGAAGGCCCTGTCCCCCTCTTTCCTTCGGTGTGGCTACTCATCTCCCCTCCTGGGCTCTTCTGTGGACAGAGGCCCTGTCTTTGATTCCCTGTTTCACAGGGCTCAGAAAATCCTATCACGCTCAACAAGTGACTGAACAAGCAGCCTCCCATTAATGGCAGCCTAGTCAGGGACATGGCAATGCTCAGTGTTCTGGATAAACCGGGAGCAGCTTATCAGTGTCCCCTGGAGCCAGGAAAGGTCCTACAGAACAGCCCCTGCCAAGGGCAGAGCCCCTCTATCACCTCCCCAGCAATGAGACAGGGTTACACAAGACTAGCCTTCACCCCACTAGGTTCGCCCCCCTGGAGCCCTAGGAAACTATCACTATAGACTGAGGGCTGAATTCTCCCCAAGTCAGGCATGAGGTGGCTTGACCCTGAGTTGTAGGCAAAGGGAGGTGGAGCTAGAAAAGGAGCACTGAACAGGGAGTCCTAAGGCTTGACTCCCTCTATTTCCAAGAACACCCCTGGGGAGGCCTCCTGGGTTGTTTTTAAGACTCTGAGGCTACTTATCATCTGGCATGGGCCCCATGCCCCTCCCTGGTAGCCCACAGGGTCAGACTGCCTTCCTTTCGTGAAGCCACAATCCTCATTTCCTGGGTTCCAGGCCCTACTCACTGGCTGAGTAGAATGGAATCTGGGGAACAAGCTGCATTCCCAATAGTCACTTTGACTTTGTAGATTTGGAGTTCCACAAAAGGAAGACTTCTCACTATATGAAATGTACCCCCACCCCCAACAGGGCTCTCTTGGGCAGGAGTGAGCTCCTTGTCCCTGGGGAAAGTAAGGGGCTGGATGTCTCCCCAGTGAGGATGCTGTAAAGGATGCAGCTGGGCTGACAGTTGGAGGCCAGTTGGACCAGGCCTTCCCCGCTGGTCCTGAAATTCTAGGGTTCCAGGGTCATCCAGCCCTTCCTGTTCTCCCTCTCTGGGGACTGAATCAGAGTTAGACTTTCACTGGCCTCCACTGGGGCATTCCTGGCTTCAGGCCACAGACTTGGCTATTGTTCCCTGATGACCACGCTGAGGATGCTGCACTGGTGGGCTTGGCATAGCAATGGGGTGGACCCTGGACGGAGGTGCCTACACTCCTATAGACGACAGGAGGCCCAGGCCCACAGACTCCCCAGCACAGACTAGAATTCATACCAAGGCTCTGTCTCCCATCTGAGCCCTCGACGCTTTGGCTCCCGCATCGGTGGCTGCCTTGGCTGGTAGCCTGGCCAGGGTCGCCTGCAGCTGAAAAGCAAACCTTGCACTTAATATTGGATTCTGCTTGGCAACTGTGGTACCTGAGTGTGGTGCTCATGCCGCCGTGGTTACTGATCTCACTGGTTCACCTTCCAGCTCACTTTAGGACCATTAACGGAAGAACACTCCCCTACAAACTGCTCTGCGGTGGGAGAGGGTTTGATCGATGGTCTGCCCCACTCCCCAGTCACATACTAGGATTCACTAACAGCTTCATACATAATACTGTAGCCGTGGTCTGTATCTTGGAGCTCTGTCCACAATCTGGGAGGAGTTGCATAAAGGGATAATGGACTTCATGTGGTAGATAAGAAGACAGGGTCAGAGATGCTAAGAAACCTGCCACATGGGCTCATGGCCTGGAGCCAAGCCTAGTGTTTCACACAGACAGCCAACTGCCCCTTTAAAGCTTTCCTGATTGTTCACACAAAGACCAGACCATGTCTGATAAGGCCGGGGTGGCCTGCCCTCCCACCTCTCTGACCTCATCTTCCTCTACTCTTGGCCACCTGGGTTTCCTCTAAGACCTTCTTCCCCACTCAGGACCTTGGCGCCTGCTGGGCCCTCTGCATGGGGGCCCGTCCCCCATCTTTCCCAGTGTGGCCCCTTCCCACCCTCCAGGGACCCACTGTGAGCGCCCCCTCCTCTAAGAGGTGCTGGGTTTGCCCCTGAGGAGGGCAAGGCCCATGCCTATTTCGCTCCCCCAACAGGGCCTGGCACAGAGCCTGAGGTGCTTCTCAAACCATGTGTTATAGAATAAAGAAGTTCTAATTCAATGGCCAGCATAACATCTGGGGAGGCCTGCAGATGGCAACAGAATTGAAATAGCAATGCAGCCCCACCACAGGCTGCGTGACCCGAGAAAGCCCCCTACCCTCTTCACGCTCCAGCTTCTTCAGCCATATAAGGGAGCTACATAGGTCCTCTCTAGCCTGTGGATTCCATCCCAGCCCCGAAGGGACCATGAAGTGCTCGGGCTGTGTCCTTGCAAGACTAGGGGTCTGTGACTAGCTGTGGGAGGGCAGGGGGGCAGCAGAAAGAGGAAGATGGGCAAGAATGAGACCAGCTGCTGGAGTGCTCCTGGCTCTAGCTTCACACTAGCAAGGATCCCTGTTAATGTAGGTAACGAACGTTTATCTAGTGCTTGCTACATGCCAGGCACAGGTCGAAACGTTTTACACTGTTACGTCTCTTGATGGTCAGAAAAACCTTAGGGTGAGTACTGTTATTACTGCTATGTGTCAGATGGAGGAAACTGAGGCACAGCGCATTTATAACCTACTCGAGGTCACAAAGCAGGTCAGTGATGGAGCTGAGATTCACACCCAGGTCAGGCTCCGGATCTGTGTCCTAACCACTCTGATGGCTGCCTCCCCGTGCGCTGTGTCCCCCTTGCTTCCTGACACACTTTCCCCCCTCTCAGGACATGACAAAGACTGAGGAACTCTTTGCAAACACTGACCCACAAGCCCTTCAGAAGGACCCAAAGCATCTAAGTGTGACTCCCTCTCTGGAGGAGTGGCCCAGGGTCCTGGGAGTCCCTTCTAGAGGCAGGAATGACCAGGGCCCCTCACTTCCTGCTCCAGCTCCTGGACACGATTGCTCAGCTGCTTCACTCTGCTTTTCGCGCCCTCTGACTCTGCCGTCAGCACCCGGTTCTTTTTGGACAGCTCAATGATTTTGGTGGCAATCACATCCCCGGCCACACCGGCTGTGCCTACGATGGAGGAAAACAGCGAGGTCAGGGAAACACACAGGCCCGCACATCAAACTCATGCCACACTACCAATGGCCCCGGGGTTTTAAGAGCTAGAACCCTCCTGAAAGGGCAGAGGCTCAGGGGAGTGACTGCATACCTGGGAACCCTGAAACCCAACTCCAGTGAGTAGAAATGCAGCCACTCTGCAAAGTGTAAATTTTATTTCTATGGGATATAAGTTTATTGCCCCAATTCTTCATGCCCTCCTCAGTGACAGGGTTACACATCCACACCTTAGGCTCTATGACTCTGCTGTGCCCTCCAGCCAATAGGTACCCTCTCAACCCTTCTATGCCTGCCTGACTCTGGCTCAGCCAATGACTTGTTTGGCCAATGGGTTGTTAGCAGATAAGGCACAGGTAGAGGCTTGCAAAGCACTTGGGTAGTTAACCCCCCCTCTTTTCACTTGTGCCAACTCCACAAGAACACAGCCAGGCCCGCTGGCTGGTCCCAGGAAGAGGAAGAGACATGTGGAACAAGGCTGAACTGCCCTAGCCGGGCCTGGTCTAGATCTGCTGAGCCCCAATTAACCCCAGATGTTTGATGCTTCCTGCTGAACGCTGCTGACATTATGTGCTGGTTTCTTATACAGAGTTTTGTGGTGACATCTAGTCAGTACAAACGCACGCATCCATCTGTAAATATTTACTGGGCTTCACCAAATATTGGGCATTCTCTGTACTAGGGATTTAACGGTGAATAAAAAAGACTTCTGGAGTTTATATTGTAGCTGGGGAGACAGATAATAAAAAACAAATAAATATGGGGTGCCTGGGTGGCTCAGATGGTTAAGCGTCTGCCTTCGGCTCAGGTCATGATCCCAGCGTCCTGGGATTGAGTCCCGCGTCGGGCTCCCTGCTCAGAAGGGAGCCTGCTTCTCCCTCTGCCTCTCTCTCTCTGTCTCTTATGAATAAATAAAATCTTTAAAAAACAACAACAACAACAAAACAAATAAATATGTATTCCAATGATCGGGAGGACTACATGCTATGAAATAAAGCGAAGTTGAGCAAGAGGGTGAGAGGGATGGGTGATGCTATTTTAAATGGAGTGGTCAGGAAAGGCCTGTCTGAGGAGGTCCATGTGAACAGAGACCTGGATGAATGGAGTGAGGGGTCAAGCCATCAAGAAGAGTGTTCTCAACTAGGAAGAGTATTCTAAGAAGAGGACACAGCAAGTGCAAAGGTCCAGAGGCAGGCATATGTTTGGAGTATCTGAGGACCATCTGGCAGGCAGAGTAGCTGGAACACAGTGGGCAAGGGCAGGAGGCTGGGGAAGAGGTAGCTGGAAGGGTGTGAATGTGGGAGGTTGAATGGTATGGGGCTGTGCAGATAGCTGGCAATGGGAGCTAGCCCGCTTGGCTACTGACTGACTGGGTGGCGTTAGAACCCCCGGCCCAGCTGTGCAACAGCAGATCTGGTCAGAGGGTCTGGAGGTTCTCTGAATGCTTCTGACACTCCAGCAATGGGTAACTGGCAGAGACACCTCCCTAGGCCTGCTTTTTAATACGACCATCATGAGCCTCAGAACAGCCTGAGAGTGACAACTGGTGGAAGGTAAACAAGGATGCCTGATGGTCTTCAGAGCGACTCAGCCTGGGCTTGCTGCTGCTGGCCTGGCCGGGCACTGAGTATGGCAACTAGGGCAGCTGCCCTTGGCCACCTCCTAGCTGCTGAAGAGGCCAGGCATGCTTCAAGAGAAAGGGCTCAGAACATGGGGAGGGAAACCCGACCTACAAGTACACGGGGCCCAGCAGTGAGTTTTCTGGGTTATGTTTTCCTTCCAGGACTCAAAAATCCCAGAACTAGACATCATGAAGAGGTCCAAGAGAGGCCCTCTCTAGTCTATTTTTTCTTAAAAGATTTTTATTTCTTTATTTCAGAGAGTAAGAGAGAGAGAGCACAAGCTGGGGAGACAGGCAGAGGGAGAGGGAGAAGCAGGCTCCCCACTGAGCAGAGAGCCAGACGTGGGGCTCGAATCCAGGACCCTGAGATCACGACCTGAGCCGAAGGCAGATGCTTAACTGACTAAGCCACCCAGGCGCCCCTAGGCCCTCTCTAGTCTAAAGGGCAGGAAGGGGGACTCAGAGAAAACAAAAAAATCTTCTTCCTCTTTTTTTTTTTTTTGCTTTCCCAAACCCTACTCTTGAAGCTGCAACCCCATGGTAAGGGGGCAGCAGTGAATGGACAAGCACAAAAATGCTAAATATGTGGGTAAATATAATAGACTCTTTTTGTCTCCTTAGGCTCTTTATGTGTCATGATTGAGAGCAAATATTATAACATTGTCTGTTGGGATTTTCAATATACAGAGATCTAACACATATAAAAGCTGCACTGTATGAGGGAGGGCAAAGGGACCGATAGCGTGGTAGTTCCTTCATTCCGCTTGAAGTGGGAAAATGCTAATTCTAAGTAGACTGTGAAAAGTTATGTATTTTGTGATCACCTGAGCAATCACTAAAAACTCATACAAAGAAATAGTTTTGTTTTTTTTTTAAAAAAAAAACAACAGAATTAAAGCAATCACTAAAAATCCAGCCAAAGGAAAACCAGTCCATCAGTTGTCAGCAGCCCATCACTTGTGGCCTGGTCTAAAAACATGCACCAGGCCCGTCAGACTTTTCTCTTCCAAACTTGATGCTGGAAGTCAGAAATGGGGACTGCACAGCGAGGACTGGACTCAAGAGGTCTTGAGCAAGAGTTAGGCAATCAGATGAGGCCATGAGCAGGCTGGCAGAGATGACAAGAGAGAGCATGGGACAGGCTGGGCAAGGGGGAGGGGCCCCCGGGTCCCCAGTCTCCAGGGGTGAGGAAGCATCTCCTGCTTCCCCCTGTAGCTCATTGGCTTCTCTACAGCCCTGCCGAAGGGCAAGCTGCCCCTCCTCATCTGAACCCGAGCCAGGCTGGGTGTGTTTCTATGTCTCCCAAGTCCTTTTCCTCAGTGCAGTTTTCGTTTTAGACAGAAAAGGCCCAAAGAATGGAGGGAGACACAATAGGCTACCGAGGGCCTTTAGGATACCAAGTTCCCTTTGCTTTTTCATTCAGTTTTGGTGCTTTGCATGCACCGAACCTTAAAGAGACTGGCTCTCAAAGGCGGGGAGGGACGCTCTGGCAGATGCCGGCTGTGGCCCGCTGTTATCTGTGATCAGTTACACCAATTTTCTGGTTTAGTCAGCTACCTGGGAATTGCTCAATGGGTTTATGTGGAACAGAGGACAGTCAGCGCCAACGTCCCCACCAGATCTTCAGGGCCAAGGTCTAGCTCATAACCACAGAGCCAATGTCCAGCCCACACCCACAGAGCTAAGGTCATCTCCAGGCCCATAGGCCAATGTCCCTACCAACAGAGCCAAAGTCCAGCCCAGACCTCAAGGGCCAAGCCCCATTCTAGACCCTACTGGGTCCTAGGAAATCCCCTTAGAACAGCTACCTTCCCTGTCCCATCCACTTTTCTGGAGTGCTGTGGAGTAAATGCCAGTAAAGTCCACTGGGGCTTTTTCACATCCATAATATAATGTCTGAGCCTGAGCAGCAAGATCAAATGGACCCTGCTGGCCCACGACATGCAGCTAGCATCCATGGAGAACCCCCGTTGTGAGTCCTAGCTGGGCCATCAACACTGCCCAGAAGGCCTGCAGACTGTCCCTGCTGTTCATGTGCTCCCATTTCCTGGTACGCTGGCCTCCTTGGCCAGCTCTCTTCCTCCACCCGCTCCTTCATTTCCAGGACTCATCTGGACAAGACTGACCACAGTTGACCCTTGGCACTCTCTCTTGAGCACCTGCCCTCTGGAACCTGCTGTTTGCCCTGCCCAGGGGGCTCCACAGAGGCTGGGCCAGCTACCAGGACTTCCAGGCAGGGACTGTGGCGGCCATGCTGGAGCTACCTGTGAAGGCAAATCTGTCCTCTTCTATTTTCTTTTTGAGATGTTTGATTTCAAAGTCCCTTTCCTTCAGCAGCTTGTACAATCGCCCATTTTCATCCACCGTCTCCCTGAGCTGTTCTCGAAGGTGTGCAATCTCATCTTCAAGCATCCTGTAAGGGCGAAGGCAGAGTTACAGGGACCGATGATGGGCGGGAGTCAGGTCTCCCCCGCCCAGGTGTGTTGTATCTGGTCGGACACTAGGTGGTGGTAAGGACTGGTCTGTACGAAATAGAAAAATGTCAATGAGCAGATTTTAACACACTGTTCTCAAAACTGAGTGTGCACACACACACACACGAAAGGAGAGAAAATGTTTGAATAACATTGTTTACTGTGGATTTAAGAGAGGGCTATATAACTGACTGCCCCTCTCCAAGAATTCATACTCCGTCAAGCATCCATGGAATATGGATAAAAATGTATTATATTATAGGCCACAAAGGCAATCTTGGCAAATTCCACATAGTGGAAATCATTCAGGCCATTTTCTTTAATGGCAATTGACTAAAATTAGAAATCATTAGTAAAAAAATGTGGCAAAAATTAAGATAAAAAACAAACCCCAAAACCCATTGTCTGAGACTAAAAAAAAAACAAAAACAAAAACAAAAACCACTCTCCTAAATTATATATGGGTTGAGAAGAAATTGTAATGTGTATTATGAAGCATTTAGAACAGAATGACTGCAGCAGCAATATACATCAAAGCTTGTGACATACACCTAAAGTGATACTCAGAAGGACATTGATAGTCAGAACTGCATATATGTATATATACACACGTATTAGAAGACCAAATAGGAATTGCCTAAGTCTTAAGGCTAGGCCTCTAGGTTTCAGGTAACCCTGACAGAAAATCAGAGCAGGTTGTTGGTTTTGTTTATTATAAGTCGTCTTGCCAGGCTCTCTTCAGCACTTTAAAACATGAGAAACATGTGACTGATGGGCCTGTGATCACTTCTACTGTGAGGCACGGAATGGGCTCCCTAGGGACAGGTGTGCGGGGAAGCAAGAAAATTACAGAAGTTAGAGGGAACAGTAATTATTATGCAACAGCTGATATTGTCATTATCATTGTTATTATTATTATTATCATTAAGTAGGCTCCATACTCAGCATGGAGCCCAACGAAGCGCTTGAACTCACAACCCCGAAATCAAGACCTGAGCCGAAATCAAGAGTTGGACACTTAACCAACTGAGCTACCCAGGGGCCCCTGATATTATCATTAGTGTTGTTATTCTACCAATGGCGCAAGTCTCCACCAATTCCAGTTTCTCTGATTTGGGGAAAGATCACCGGGAAATGGGTCTGGGATTAACTTAGAGCTAATATTTAGGAGCCATAGGAACTTTTTCAATTACTGAGCAACCTGTATGTTTTTCCCAGTTAGCATTTTTTAGTAGAATATTTTGAAAATTGAGAAACCATAAAAGGTAGAACCCGAAAATGGAGAAGATAGATTCTGGGCCAAACCAGAAGCAAAGAGACAACTCAACAACTATTGTGGTTTCTTTCTTTTCTTTTCTTTTTTTTATTAGCAGAGAATTTTGTATCAACATAGCCTTCTGCTTCTAACAGCAAGTATAAATCAACATGCATCTGTGATATTGTTGAATTTAGAGCAAAATGAGAAGATTCTGGACTCCTTTCAACCTTTTCACCATGGAAGAACCAAGGAACCCACCAAGAGCTTCTTTACACAGGTATGTTTATGGGTTGTTATGTGTCAGGAAAGGGAAATTGGCATAGGAGAATGATCCCAGATGAGAATTTGGAGCAATGATCATTTATGAACCATCAGAGTTAGCCAACCAGCTCCTCAGAAACCCAAACACAATTTTCATGAACGGGAGACTGAATAAGAAAATTCAAGTGAATAAACTACACCCTGATGAGCTTCAAATTTTCCATTTGACTTTAAATTATTTTTAAATACAGTTTATACCAATATATCCATAGGAGCACAGATCTATCAGACCCAAGTGTGACAACCTGTGTCAAAACTTCTGTGGCTCAACTTGTAAACACACATCTGGTCAACCTGATTGCCCACTGGTCTGTGATCAGTTCGCCCCCTCCCTCCTTACCTCCCTCCAGTGCTCCTGGGAGAGTTCAAACTTGCATTTACCTCTGCTCAAAGCTGTTTTTCGAGTTTTGATCCCCAGGTTGGAGAAGGCTGAGGCCATCGGAAATCTCCAAGGGCTCTTTTTGGTCATCAACTTTGATTTTGAGGCTCAGTTCCTTTTCCTTCTGTTTCTCCATCTGCTTCTGTAACCTTTTGTGCTGCATCTCCTGCATGGCCTTGAACTGGAGACGTAAGGTGTCCTGTGCACCTTCATCTGCTGCCATCTTGCCCTAGGAGTAGGAAAAGAAGCAAACCCCACCAAGTACACATTTCTCGAGAGTACTCAGCACAAAATCAGCTCTGTCTACAGCCTCCAAGTCTGGAGGACCCAGCTTAGCCTTGTGGTGTCCATATAGAAGCTCAGAAGACCCACCCTCCCCTCAAATCCCCTAAAAGCCAAATCTGAGCTGAGCATCCTCCCCAGCCCTGAATGTGCCACCAGACTGCAAAGGCATCAGAATACTCCCCAGTGCTGAGACTCAACACTGCCCTCCTTTCTGTCTCTAAAAACAGTGGCTCTCAACTCTGGCTGGATATTAGACTCTCCTAGGAGCCCCTAAAATATAACAAAGCTTGGGCACAACATCCTTGGACCAATTAAATCTCAATTTCTGGGAGTGGGGTCCAGACATCATTACTTTTTAAAAATTAAGTATAATTTATACATGGTAAAGTACATAAATCCTGAGTGTACAGCTCAATGAATCTTAACATAAGTATACATCCCTGTGGTGACCACCCAGATCAAGGTATAGGGTACTTCCTGTCCCCCAGCAGGGCTATCTTGTGCCCTTTCCAGGCAGGTGTCCCCCCTCCCCCAAGTAACCACTATTCTGACCTCTGCCATTAAAGATGAGTTTTGCTTTCTTTTTAATCAGCTCTATTGAAGTATAATGCATTGACACTAAAATATGCCATTTTATGTGTGAAAACTAGTCTTGACAAATACATATAGTTGTGTAAACCACCACCACCATCGCTGTAGAACATTTCTTTCACACCAAAAAAGTTCCTCTGTGCCCCTCTGCAGTCAGTCTCCCTGCCAGTCCCAATCCCAGGCAAACTCCAGTCTGCTTTTGGTCACTTATGGTTTTGCCTTTTCTAGAATTTCATATAATTGGAATCATATGGTAGGTAGTCTGTGGTTTGTTTTTGTTTTGTTCTGTGTTTTGTTTTGCTGTTTGTGTGTGTGGGTGTGTGTGTGTGCTTAGTACTACTTTCTAGAGATTCATCCGTGTTGTTGCATGCATCATTAGTTCATTCCTATTTATGGTTGGGTAGTACCCCACTGGGTAGATATATCACAGTTTGCTCACACACTCACCTGTTATTGGGCACTTGAACTCTTTCCATTGTCAGCTATTATGAATAAAGCTGCTATGAACATTCATATACAAGAAAGTCTTTGTGTGAACATATGTTCTTTTTTATTTCCCTTGGGTAATACATAGAAGTGGAAATGCCAGGTTAGGTGGTAAACTTATGTTAGCTTTATAAGAAACTGCTAACTTGTTTCCTAGAGTGACTGTAACATTTTCCATTCCCACCAGCAGTGTATGAGAGTTCCAGTTGCTCCACATCTTTGCCAGCATTTAGTATAGTCAGTCTCAATTTTAGTCTTTCTAGTGGGTATGTAGTAGTATCTCAGTGTGCTTTCAATGTGCATTTCCCTGACATCAAATTATATTGAGCATCTTTTCATGGGCTTACTGGCCATTTGCATATCTTCTTTTGTGATCTGTCTATTTATATTTTTTTGCCCAGTTTTAAATTGTGTTATGTGCTTACATTCTGGGTGGTTTTGTTTACTTTTGAACTCCAGATAAACAGAATATAATAGAGCATGAACACTGGAATTTTTAAATGGTCCCCACATGATTTTAAAGCGTAGCAAGTGTTAAGCACCCCTACCTTAAACCAAACCGAAGTCACATCATCCACCCACCATCCAACTAGTCATAAATCTTGTTGATTCTCCATAAATGTCTTCACATCTGCCCCCATATTTCTGGCACCACTGATACCACTCTCACTATCATGCTCATGGCAACCTCAGGGCCTTTGCACTTGTGGTTCTCTCTCCCTGGAATGTTCTCCCACCCCTCCACCAGCCAACGTCCACTTTACTCACTTCTCTCAAATGTCACCTTATCAGAGAGGCCTCTGCACTCTTCTCTTGTAGAAAGTTTTCTTACTCTCACTCCCCACACTCCTTATTCTGTGGTACCTTCCTCCACAGCACTTGGCTTTACCTGACACACTGTATGTTTGTTGATTGCTTCTCTCCCTGTCTGCCAGCCCAACAATGGCAGGCACTGTGTGATGTTCACTGTTGGGCCCTCAGTGCCTAGAATGGGGCCTGGTGTGTAGCAGGCATGAAATGAGTATTTGGTGAACTAATGATGGATGGTTCTGTCCCCAGGACTGCTCAGCAGGTCCCTACTGCCCTGGCTGTCCTCTCCCTCTTCCCACCTTACTTGTAGTCCAGCCTGCATTGGCCAAGGGACTACTTTCTTTAAAACACAACTCTGAGCCTGACACGCCCAGCACCAAAGAGCCTCACTAGATGCCGGTTAGCCACAAAACCAAGTCCGGTGGCATTAAAGGCTTTGGGGGATTAAGCCTCTGTTTCTCCTTCCAGCCTATTGTCCTCTCTAGTGTCCCCTTGCTCCTCTATCTCTCCATCTCCCCCTCCTCTGACTTAAACCTTGCTGGTTCCCCCAGGCCCGGCCTAAGTAGCACATCCTTTCCTGACCCTCTAGGAAGAACATCCTCCCTGCATCTACACCTCTCCACTGTACTTATCCCCACCTTGTCCACAGGGGTGGTCCCAGAGCCCATACCGAGGGCTTCTTAAACCTGTCTCAGTATTGAATCTCTAGGGATACAATCTACAAGTACTAATGTCTAGGCCCCAGTCCTGGAGGATTCAATCTAATAAGTCTGGGTGGAGACCAGGCATGGGGCTGTGTTAGCACTGCCCAGGTGGCTGGGGTGCGCTGAGGCCTGAGCCTGCAGTCCGACCTTGAGCCTGTTGCAGTAAAAGAGGCGCTGGCGTTACCTTGGAATTCCTTACCAGGTAGCCCGGCCCATAAGAGGAACTATGCAGTAAAGAATTAACTCATCATGTCTGGGTTGTCCACACCCTGCCTATTCCAAAGAAAGGTTTGACCCTTGACCTGCTCCTAGGAGGTAACCTCTAAGTCTTTGGTATATCCTGCCTGACAACAATGCCCTTCTTTACCTGGGGGACTTGGGCCACTCCAGATGGTCTATGCTAACTAGCAATGTGATTTTATGATGGGGGCCTTGGGCCACGCCATGTATCAGCTTGATCTCTAAAGAGGTGGGAGATTGAATGACTAAGGTCAGCCATGCAGGCAGTCAGCCATGCCTGTGTGACTGACCCACAGTAAAAACCCTGGTCCCCAAGGCTTGGGTGAGCTTCCCTGGCTGCCAATGTTCATGCATATTGCTGAAGCAAGCACTGTTCCTGAGGCTCCACTGGGAGAGGACAACTGGAACCTTGTGCCTTGTGTCTCCTGGACTCTGCCCAATGTGCCTTTCTCCTTTGTTGATTTTAATCTGTACCCTTTTGTCATAACTATATAACAGCTTTTCTGAGTCCTGCGAGTGCTTCTATCAAATTGTGGAAACAGGATAGTCTTGGGGACTCTCAAACTACAGGAACCCCTGGACACCTCTGCTGAATGTGTGGCAGCCGTAGATAAGTCTCCACTCAGACTTCATTGAACAAGCAGACAAACAAACAAAAGGGTTTTTATTGGGGGTCAGTCACAGAGGCATGGCTGACTGCCGGCGTGGTTGACCTTAGTCATTCCATTTCCCAACCCATCTTTTGGGACACCCAGGGATATAATGTAACTTAACAACTGGACTCAATGTTATAAACAGGCAAATCAGACTTTTTCTGTAAAGGGCCAGATAGTAAACATTTTAGGCTTTGTGGGCCATATGGTTTCTGTTGTAAGTACTGTGCTCTGCTGTTGTAGTAGAAAGTAGCACTAGATAAGCCGGAAATGAGTGGGTGTGGCTGTGTTCCGATAAAACTTTATTGCAAAAACAGGCAGTGAGCTGGATTTGGGCTTTGGGGCCTTAGCTTGCCAACCCAGTTTAGGGGAATTTCACCTGAAAAAGTGTCTAGAGATTGAAGAAAACCCTATTGAGCCTATTATTTGAAAATGTAACTAAAGAGTTTAAAAATCAGTTTATCCTGTGATTCCCTATTTCTGTAGATTGTAAGCAGGGACAATCATATACTTCATTTTCTAAACTGGGTCACCTTGGAGAGTGAAAGGGAGCGCTATTAATAATCATTCTGTGTCAACAGCAACTTGGAGGCTGTGCCTAGGATATACAGCAGCAGTGCCCACCCTGCTGTGTTCTGGAACCACCTGGGGAGCTTTAAAGATACTGGTGCCTGGGTCCCACACTCAGGGATTCTGAGGTCACTGGTCAGGGAGCAGCCTGGGTGTTGGACATGCTGGTCTGGGCTACTGTACAAGTAGACTGGCCCAAGTTGAGATAGCACCAAGGGTTCAGGGTGAACTTGGCTCTGTGTGAGTCTAGAGTGTTTCTAGACCTCTTTGGGTCTCAATCCCTCTTCATTGAGCAGGAGATGATGACAGGGAGGCCACAGATATTCTGTGAGGGACAAATGCAAAGCAGGGGGGGTATGTGTGTGTGTGTCAAGATACTTTGTCAGCTATGCATTGGTAGGAACAAAATACTATTTTTTCCCCCTTCCTGGTGGTCTCTCCTGGGAACTCCCTTCCTCCTCATCTTGCCCCACACCCAGATGCTTCCTGTCCTTCACAGTGATGCTTATGACCCATCAGCAGAAAGCCTTCCTTGGCTGCTGGGCCTGCAGTGACTCAGCCCCATGACATGGCAGCCTCTAGCCTCCACAGCCACTCTTTCACATCATAAGGTCACCTCTTCTGCACCTTATCTCCTGCCTACTCACCCCAGTATCCTCCTAGTGCCTCCCCATCTCTCTGGCTGCCTGATTCCCATCTTAGCTCCCAGGTCTTGTCTTGGTACCTCTAATCTATACCACATATGACCATCTGGGACATTTCTAAAACCAGATCTAAGTGGCTCCGACCTCTCCAAGACCCTGTCAGGACTCATGGAGGCCACTCTGGCTGGCCCGAAGGTGGTGTCCATCCCACATTTTTATTTAACTTTCACAGAATGCTCTATGAGG